TTCTTAACTCCTTTCCCTCCTCCTTCTCCCCTTCCTCCGTCCCCACCTCCTCCTCCCCTCCCCTTTCTCCTACACCTTCTACCACTACTGCTACTATTTCTACAACTACTACTACTACTACTACTACTACTACTTCTACTACTACTACTACTACTACTACTACTACTTCTTATACTACTACTTATACAACTACTATTTTTACTACTACTTCTACTTCTACTACTACTACTACATCTACTTCTACTTCTACTATTAATACCTCTACTACTACTAGCAGTATTACTTTGGGCTCAGTTTTGTGTGAGCCTGCATGGGTTCTTTTTCACAACAGAAAGGAGGAAACGAGAAGGCGATTTTTGCTGATTCGTAGCTCTGGTTCAGAATGCCCTGTGCTGAGAAACTCTTAATTTGTTCTCTGCTCTTTTCAACATGCATGCATTATGTATCAAATTACCAACTACGTATAACAATAACATCTTTATCAATATTCAAGAGGAAGTCAGTTATGTGACTACACACTTAATATTCAAAAAGAAAAGTGGGCCAATCGAAAGAGATAGTGTGGTATGTCATGTGACTGTTATGGCGGAAAGTGTCGTCAGGTGACAAAGGAGGAGGTAGAAAGATTTCTAGGAAGCAAATGTCTGTAGCATTGGGGTATGTGAACATGAAAAGAAAAACAAAGAAAAGAGGCAGTTATTAGAAGTAAAAAGGGGCACTCGTCAGAGATGAAAAGAACACTTATCGAGAGGGAAAGGAGCACTTACTTACTAAAGAAGCTAATTCTCGTACCTGAAAAAAGGTCATTTACCACAGTTGAAAAGGGGTACATATGAGAATGAAAAGGGGCATTTATGAGAAGGGGAAGGGGCTCTTTTTTAAATGGACACTTATTATGTAGAAAAGGGGGACTTATTAAAAAGTAAAAGGGGCATATGTGAAAAAGAAAAGGTGCGCTCATCCGAATTAAAAAAGGGTAGTTATAACTGGGAAGGGGCACTTAAAAATGAAAAGGGGAGCTTAACAAAGTAAAAGGGGCACCACTCAGATTTGAATAGGGCGATCATCAAAAGTGAAAAGGGACACTTCTCGTACTTGAAAGGGGGCACTTACTATCGATCAAAAAGGGAACTTATGAGAATGGGAAATGGACATTTATTGCAAAGGAAAATGGGAGCACGTGTCAAAATAAAAGGGGCAATAATCAGAGGTGAAAAGGGGTAGGGGACTTTCACAAAGTAATACGAGCTCTTTTCTTATGTAAAACAGGGTACTTTGGGGTGGGCACTGTGCCCCCCAACTACATCCCCCGGCGCGCCGCCCCTGCTTTCAATTGCTCATTTCCGTATGCCCAGTCGTATATGTATGTAGTGTGAAACACGGATATCATTATCTACAGAATCATTCTTTGATAGAAAGCGAAGTGAGCAGAGACATATATTTGTTGAAGGTATGTATAATTATGTCGTGTCGTTAAATTGCGTAATGTTAGGAATACATTATACGTAATCATCTAGTCGCTGTCTCAAGCACATTTGCCGCCGCGGCCGTGGGGTCTAAAAGTTAAATGCCCAGATCCTTTGGAATAAATTACCAGCGCACTTTCATAATATTCATTCTCTTGACCAATTCAAGTCCTTGCTGACAACGCACCTTTTTAATTCATGAATGATATTCTACAGTTGTGAGTCGGCCAAAGGAGGTGCACACCGTCTTATTATAGGGACTTTTAGATTTGCACGTCGACAGCTTTGACTGCAACATATGACGTCATTTTAAGGCACTGCGCATGTGTCACGTCGTCTCAGTCGGCGATCGAGAAGGCGTCAACCTTAATTTTCCTAAATCTAGCACGGTACTAGTATATGCCACGTGCGCATAAAATATACAGTTTCTCAGGTAGACAAAGGAACATCCCTTCCCTGCTATAATTTAAAAATGTGTAGAACAGGTGTCACATGCATATTCACCTGTTCTACACATTTTTACATAATAGCAGTGAAGGGATGTTCTACCACAGCAATTGTTGAGGGTAGAATGAGGAACTGTACAGTGTATATTTTGTCCTCTTTCTTTGTCCGTCATATTCATAGTGTTACTTCCTGCATGCATGTATATCGTCGAGTTCAATCTAAAAGATTTCTAATTGTAGCCAACTTGAGCAGTTGAGTACGTTGACACGCATGATCAGTCGGCGTTCGTCGTGTTCTCGTCCCCTCAATCTAAAAGTCCCTATTCCTTGTTTGTTCAATCTTATGTTTAATCATATGTTTGACCTCATGTATGTTTGATCTCACTCTTATTTTTATTATTATATATGCATGATTTATTGAATAAAGAACAGATGTATAAGTTGTGTGTTTATTTTGGTAAATAATTTTTAGTCAGACTATGGTGCACTTAGAGACACTAGTATTAAGCGCCTAATAAATATTGTGTATTATTATTCATGAAAACTAATCTCTTGTTGATAAGTAGTAGGAGGAACAAAATAGGTATGAATGGTAAACTGAAAATCGTTGGCGAGGAAGTTAAAGAGGTTGATGTTGCCACTTTTGTTGGAGTTCACTTTGATAGACTTTTGTCTTGGAATTTAGTCATATTCGTTTTTGTAAATCAATATATAAGAAAGAAAGTTGGAGTGCTCTTTAGATTGCGACATTTTGTTCCTAGCCGTACTCTGATAATATTAAAAGCATTCATACAAGCACACATTTCTTACGGAATAGAGGTGTGGGGAAGCACTAATAAGACTAGCCCAAGAAGTATATTGTGTGCACAGAAAATATCAGTTCGTGCTATAACATTTAGTGAATGGAGAACTCCTTCAGATCCATTATTTAAAAGATTGCGAATCCTAAATGTGTATAATTTACGTGATTTATCAATTTCTACTTTCATGTCTGATCTGCAGGTCATTGCCAATTTGTCTTATATTTATTAGATGTACTGTGACATTTTAGGGCATAGCTATTTCACAAGACAAAAAGAAGGTGGACAATTACGTCTTCCAAAATTTAGAACGACACAAAGTCAATTTTTATTGTCTTTTTGGGGCAGTAGATTTGGAATAGATTACCTATTAATTTCCGATTAACAAGGTATATATAGGTTTCGGAATTATGTTGAAAAAGTTATGAATGAAATATCAAGTTTCCCTTGTAAACATATTTTCACGTTAATTTGACCTTTATTTATTACATTTCATTCATCTAGTTTTTTCAATTTGATAGTTGTATTTTTTTTTCCTTATAATTTATTGTTAATGCGTGTTTTTCGTTACCTATGTTTAATTATTGTATATACCATGTATATTTTACCTTTGTATGTATGTTTTGAATTCATGTTATTATTGTACATGTTTTTTATGTGAATACAGGGCTCTCTGGGAGAGCAGGCTCAGAAATGAACTTGAATGAGACCACCCTGTTAAAATAAAACTATAATAAATAAATAAATAAATAAATCAAGTTAAATAGTCTGCATAGGTACAAAAAATAAATCATACATTATCAGTTAGTAATTTGTAAGACATTGTTAAGTATTCTTATTCTTTAAAGTATCGATTGTAATGGTAAATTAAAATAGTTTTGTTTTGTTATGTTTTCTAAACTGATTTGTACTAAAATACTATGTTAAGCTGTTAAAGGGGTTAGGATTGACTAGCACATGTGCTATTATGTGGCCCCTTTTACTAACCAGTAGTTTCTCTCCGTGTATATATGTAACACCTTGTATGACATGTATTACCTTATTGCTGTTGGTAAATAAAATAAAATCAATCAATTAATAAAAAGAAAGAAAGATCAGAGGATAGGTAGAAATCCCTTCCGACTGCATTTCCTGTAAAAAGCCGACTGTTTCGTTTTATAATTATTACCACATTACCACAATAACTAAAAAACAATATCATAATAGTGTCGTGTTATAGCAAACATGGTATACCGCATGACTTGGTTTCCCTTCCTTTGGGAGGTTACATGTACTTTGCTCATTATATTATTTGCAATATCTACATGACAAAATGATGCAACCGTTCTTTAGAAGAAAAAAATTGTATGTGGATTTATGACAAGTGGAGGTGAAAAGGCAGATAATTCATACCTACATTGACTTTTATACCCAAAGCGATTCCGTTAGACCTTAACTCTGGATTGAAACAAGGTACACCATATAAAAATTGTTCCTATTGAAACAGATCTTCCGATACGCGGAAGCTGATTTCTGCAAGTACAACCACATGGGGAACAGGCAACTCGATCACACATTTTTAATAAACCGCCCTATGAGAGCACTGCTGCGATGCTCTGTCGAAATTGCCAAAAGCATATGACCTCCAATTCTTTCCAAGACCTAAGTTCCTGTATGATTTCCGCTTTTGCATTCATAACAATTGTGAAATACTTTGAATGGAAGTCACCAGTACCAGTATTTTACTTATACCGTTGCTGAAAAATTGACAATCAAAGATTTGTTTTGAATGTGTAAAATTGTATGTACAAGGCGAATGTAAGTAACCAAGGCGGGTAATGAATGCTACTTCGACCACTATCCCCACCACCGTCACCACCACCACCACCACCACTACCCCCGTGATCACCACCATTATCATCATTACCCTCACAGCCAATACCACCATCCCCATCACCAGCATCATCACCACCATCACCGCCACCACCATCACCTTTCATGTGCTTTCCTGTTCTGCTTTGCTAGTATACGTGAGCGGATAAATTGTAGTTGTACGATATACTTCATTTACTTGTAATTATTCGTCGGCGTCGTATGAGGTCCTCATTGTCTGATTTTGTAACGGAAAGTATTTTCAAATTATCGAAAAAAATGTTATAAACAATATTGTTCTACCTCAAGCCTTGCTCAAGTTGTCACGTTATGGAGTTTGATTGTTTTTAAGAAAATGTGGACATATTCGTCTTTGAAAAATAAACTTTAAACATGCTGAATATAAATGATCTTGACCTGTGTATTTCTCAATTATTTTGACCTATTCTTATGCAGAAGGGGCGATTTCATTTGGAGTAATACGAGGTATTTACTTGAAAATGGAGGTGCATCAACCTGCTGCAACGCACGGCATAGACCAAGAACAAGAGCTCTATAGTCGTATCCTCAGGGTAAGGCCGTTATTTTTAACCCCTCCTCTTCCTCTTCCTCCTCCCCTTCCCCTCCTCGACCTCCCCTTTCTCCTCCTCTCCTCCTTTTTAACTCACCCCCCATTATGCTCCCCTTCTCCTTCACTTCATCCTCCCCCCTCCTCTTCTTTATTCTTCTACTCCTCCTTTCAAACTCACCCCCCCTCCTCTCCTCCTCCCACTTCTCCTCCCCTCCACCTCCTCTTACACATTCTTCTACCACTATTACAATTACTAGTACTACTGATAATGATTATGATGTTGCTGTTGTTGTTGCTGTTGTTGTTGTTGTTGTATGGTATACTACACCTACTCCTACTACTATAACATCAACTACTACTACTCATTGGCGTACTGATGGGGTGGGGGGGGGGGAGTGGGCAGTTGACCCCCAACTAAAATTCACACGTGGTTTAATTATTTCGAATTCGATACCAATAACTTACACATTTTGCTAAAATTACATGATTTTCCGTTTTGTTTCTCACTTTTGCCCATTATGCCAGAGGCGGCACTCTCGGTGGAGGGTTGGGGTGCACTGTGCTCCTTTAATTTTGACACGTGCCCCTTTTCCTTCCTAATAAGAATCATATTTCCTTCGGATAAGTGCCCCTTTTCAAAATGCCCTTTTAACATCTGACGAATGCCCTAATTAAATCTGAAAGGTGCCCTTTTCCTTCAACAGATTCCCCCTTTCCATTCTCACAAGTGCCCTTTTCCTTCTATGTTGAGAGTCCCTTTTCAGGTACAAGAAGTGCCATTTTCACCTCTTATAATTGCCCTGATTACCTCGACAGAAACACCCTTTCTTTCTTAATAACTGTCCTTTTCCCTTCTGATAAGTACTTACTTTTCTTTTCTCCATAACATACACCCCTAATTCAAGGCGACTTAAAGCCTCTTTTTTTTAATTGTCGCTATAGCTCGCTCGCATTTATAAATGTTATAACTATGTTAATAATAAATTAACTTTTCAGTCTTTCTTCATGATATTGTGCTTAATACTTATCAGGTGTTGTTTTTCGTCTTCTTTATATTTTCGCACTCTCTCTCGCTCTAAGTGCCATATCGATTGACTTTGGCGATCATGCTGTTCCACAACCCTCGGTTCCTAGCCTTCTGTATTAGTACCACTCCCAGTTCTTTCACTCCTCTCTCTCTTCCAACAATTTCTGCAGACTGTCCATCCAAAGTATCCTCCTTCCTCCCCTACTCCTTCTTCCCACAATTTTCCCTGTCAAAGCAAGATTCTCTAGGCCTTCTTTACGTGTAATGTGACCCATGAACTTCAACTGCCTAATCAACATCTCACGTATTATTTTCCTTTGCACTCCAGCTCGTGTAAGAACTTCCTCATTACTAACTTTGTCAGTCCAGGGGATTTTCATCATTCTTATTAAGAACCACATTTCGCAACTTTCCAAACGCTTTTTAGTATCAGAGGCTAAAGTCCATGTTTCACTACCATACATACGTACTGGGTATATGTAACAATTCAATACTCTTATTCTGGTCCTCATACTCATTGTTCGATTTGTCAGAATTTTGCCTAGCTTTGAAAATGCAGATTTAGCGAGAGCTATCCTTCTCTTGATCTTTGTCTCACATCTGGCATCCTCGGTGATCATGCTGCCGAGGTAGTTAAATGGGGAGACTTGTTTAATAATCTGTTCTTTCAGTTTCAAGTTACATTTTGGACTGCTCTTCTTAGAGACCACCAGGCACTTTGTCTTGGTATAGTTGATCTCTAGTCCCATTCTCTCACTTTCTTTTACAACTACATTCAGGAGTCTCTGGAGATCTTTCTCTGATTCAGAAAATAAAACAGTGTCATCAGCATATCTAATATTTGTGATTGAATGGCCACCCACTTGTATCCCATTTTCATCTTCCAATTCTCTTAGAATGATTTCTCTATACATATTGAACAGGTCCGGCGACATAACACAACCCTGTCTGACTCCCCGTCTAATGTTAATATATTCACTACACTCTCCTTCTACCCTGATGCATGCAAACTGATTCCAATATAGACTTTGTAGCGGTCTTAGATCTTTCCTATATATATCAAGCTTTTTCATCTCTTCAAAAAGTTCTGAATGTTTTACTTTATCAAAAGCCTTTGAAAAATCAATAAAACACATGTACAAATCATTTTGCATTTCGACTGCTCTCTCCGTTATATTTCTAACCACAAATATTGCATTTCCTGTGCCCGCATCCTTTACAAAACCAAATTGTTCCCTTCCGACCATGGGACATATTTTACTTCTTGCTCTCAAAAGCAAAATCCTCAAAATAATCTTAGTGATATGGCAAATAAGGCTGATTGTCCTATATTGCTCACAATCCACGGCTCCCGGTTTCTTTGGGAGAGTAATTAAAATGGATCTGCCCAATTCATTTGGAAATGTTCCGTCATTATATATTTTGTTAATAATTTCTGTTAATCTATCAACACCATATTCCTCTAATGCTTCAAATATTTCAGTGACCACACCATCTGGTCCAGCTGCTTTGTTCTTCTTCATCTTTGACATTGCCCAACGGACTTCAGATTTTAAATTTTTCTCCCCCTTTGACTTCATCTGCAAAACTTGGCATTGCTTCCCTACTATCTTCAAAAAGTTCGCCAATGTATTCCGTCCACCTACTCATTTTGTCCTTCATTTCAAACAGGATTGACCCATCTTTTCCTTTGATACAGCCAGGGTTTGAACAACCAGGCTTTTTACCTGAAATTTCATTTATTCTCTGGTAAACATTACTATTCTTATCGAATTGATTTTCAATTTCTACACATTGTTCGTTTAGCCAGCTCTCTTTTGCCTCATTACACTTTTGCTTAATTTGTTTGTCTAGGTCCCTATATTTCTTGCATTGTCTATTTCCAATTTTCTGTCTATCTTTCATCATTAAAAAAATCTCCTCTGTCATCCACTTGTTCCTTCTTTTTCTCTTCTTTTTCGGCACATACTCTTCCGCTGTTTCTACCAGAACATTTCTCATCGTCTCCCACGTCTTTTATTCTCCTTCATCTATGAGTAACTCAAACCTATTCTTTACTTGTACAGTAAATTCTTGACGTATGTCCGGTTTACTCAACTGTTTAAAATCCAATATTTTCACAACTTTTGGTCTCTTGAGTTTCTTTAATTTGCACTAAAGTGTACATATCACCGGCACATGATCACTTCCGCAGTCAGCCCCTGGATATGTTTTTGATCGTTTCACTGCTTTTTTAAATCTACTATTTATGGCAATATAGTCTATCTGGTTTCTGACGATGTCGCCAGGACTCTTCAAAGTGCATAATCGTCTAGGGTGTTCTTTGAACCAAGTATAAGTGATGACCATGTTCTCCCCCTCACACCACTGAACCCATCTGTCCCCTCGTTCATTTCGTTCACCAATTCCATGCGGACCTACTGCTTTGCCCTCTGTACCATGACCGACTTTAGCGTTCAGGTCTCCCAGGACAATGACAATGTCATTCGATTTGCACTGAGATTTAGCTTTATCTAGACTAAGGAATCATAAAAGGTGTCAATAACTTCATCAGCACTATCTGCCGTTGGTGCATAAATCACTATGATTGAGATGTTAAAAGGGTGTCCCTGTAATTTCACTAGGAGCACCCTATCACTTACACACCAGTGTCCCAACACACTCTTTGAGATATCTGGATCCAGCAGTAACCCCACACCTCTTTCATGCTTTTCACCTCCTGCATAAATCAATCTGTAATCATCTATCACAAACTCGCCGTTATTCAGCCATCTTGTTTCATTTAGTCCTAAAATGTTGACATTTAGCCTCATCGTCTCTTGTTTAACATTTTCCAGCTTGCCGCTCTGATACAGTGTTCTCACATTCCATGTTCCAACTCTGATGGTATTCCTATTGCGAACAGTAGCTGGCTGACGGTCGGGGCCCACCTGTCGCCCATTGGGAACCCTACCGGGCGAGGTGCTTGTCCCTTGAGGTAGACGAGCCCCCTTTACGCCTTTGGCTTTTGCTTTAGAGTTGTGGTTCATCATGATTGTTCTTGGAATAATAGTGAAGTGGTTTTCCGTTGCCTTCTTCACCGCAGTATGTAGCCGTATCTGGGATCGTCCAGCACGCCAAGCATTAATCATAGGTTCACTGTTGTCCTAAAAGGATCTTCCGCCGAAACACTCCTACTGCATCGCTGCTGCCCAATGCAGAGCAAGCTAAGCTTATTTAAAGGCGGCCTAAACTCGCCGTCCCAATTCAACGTCTTAGGAGATATGCAAGATTTTATTGGTCCTACTAGTGCCACCCAGTACCACCACCAGCCCCCTGATGGTCCCCTTTTAGTCGCCTTTTACGACACGCAGAGGATACGTGGGGGGTATTCTTGACAGGCCCACCCCACCTCCACTAGTACCTCTTAAATTTAATTTTTTTTGCTCGCTCGCTTGGCTAGCTCGAAAATTAATATTCAGACCATCACACCCCACTGTAAATGTGTGGCTTTAGCAGTATCTTTTACCACGTAAAGAAAGAAAGAAACATTGGTGTCATCCCTGGTATTGTAGTTTAATCACAATCAAGGCGATGTATTAATGTTTCCCTTTGTAGATGCCCTTTTTTTGGAAGACGCTCCGCCGCCCCTGTATTATGCTACTTGGTGGTGATGCAGATTTTGTTCTGACCCCCAGAAGTTTTTGCCCATTACGCCTCTGCTACTACTACTACTACTACTACTACTACTACTACTACTACTACTACTACTACTTCTACTACTACTACTACTAGCAGTACTACTTTGAGGCTCAGTTTTGTGTCAGCCTGCATGGGTCATTTTCCACAACAGAAAGAAGGAAGCAAGAAGACGATGTTTGCTGTTTGGTAGCTCTGGTTCAGAATGCCCATCTGCTCAGAAGCTCTAAATTTATTGTTTGCTCTTTTCAACATGCATGCATATGGTTCAACTTAGCAACTAAGTATAACAATTAATAACATCCTCATCAATATTCAAAAGGAAGTCAGTCACGTGACTACATACTAAGCATATTCAAAGAAAAGTGGGCATATCAAAAGAGAGAGTGTGGTGTGTCATGTGACTGTTATGTCGGTAAGAGTGGTCAGGTGACAGAAGAGGAAGGACGGGAATTTCTTGTAAATGGGTGATAGAGTTAACAGACATAAATAATCCTATCTGATTGATACACGTTTGTAAAAACCCTACTACATACACAAAGGAAATAAATGTCTGTGGAATGTGGGGCATGTGGACATAACAAAACTACTACTACTAATACTAATAATACTGCTACTACTACTATTACTACTACTACTACTACTACTACTACTACTACTACATGTACTACTCCTACTACTACTACTACTACTACTACTATATAATAGGCCTACTACTACTACTAATTTAATTGGTTGAAGGCATGGGCTCAAATGTTGATAAACCTTTTTTTAGAAATGTGTTTCTCCCAAGTACTTGGTATTGATATATATAGACAAGGGGGGTGTTTCACAAAGATCCTAAGTAGAACTTAACTCTAAGTTGGACTTAAAAATTATGGACAGCCATTGGAGTCTTAAAATGAAATATATTCAAAAGCAGAAATGCAAGTATTTTAGACTTTTTATGAATTCCACATCCAGAACATGAAATCTCCTTGATGATAAACAATATGAATGATTTGAATAAACAATAAATGCCTTTCAAAATAACTTTTACAAAATATTTTCAAAGATGCTAATGGCTTTCCATAACTTTTAAGTCCAACTTAGAGATAAGTTCAACTTAGGATCTTTGTGAAACACCCCCCTGGTCTTAACTGTCGATTGAAATACGAGAAAGCAAGGCCATCGGGTGTCGGGAAGATGCAGAAGAGGTCGTATCATCTTTATCCACGTTGGTTTCCCCAACTCATTTTCTCAGATTGTCTTTCTTCCCCCGTTCTTTCGTTTTGTTTTCCGTCACTTGACGGTGGTGGGCACGTATCTTGGTGACTCGAATATATGCACCCCTGTTTATAAATAACATATCCTCTTTCTGTATGACAAACAAATAAAATAGGCATCGAAAGCAGGGAACGTGGAGGCGTTGCGACGCGCTTTGGATGCGGAGCCTGGTAAGGTTGACACACCTGATAGCAATGGAATGTCACCACTCTTCTTAGCTGTGAAGGAGGGTAGTCTACCATGTGTGAAACTTCTCGTCTCGAAACAAGCTGGTGAGTAAAACATTAATACAAAAGCAAAAGAGGACAAAGGAAACAAATTGAACACCCCTCATGAAAAAAAGGAAGAAAATAAAAGTGGAAAATACACGTCCCACAGTTTTAATACAACATGTAGCATCAGTGAAATGTCCCTATTTTGTATAAATTAACGCGATCGCAACAATTTTCGAAAATTCAACTGAAAGGGGAAGTGCACCCTAATATTAAATTGGTTTTTAAAAGAGCAGAAACGTTAGAAAAACAATTCAGTGAAAATTTGAGAAAAATCGGACACAAAATAAAAAAGTTATGAATCTTTCAAAATCATAAAAATCATGGGATCTTTGAGACAAATTGGCAATGCGGTCAGAAATTGTGATGGCATCCCCTCACAATTCACCACTGATCTATGATCTAATGACAGAGAATGACCCAAAATCTCTATTTCTCTGCATGTAAATGGAATAGTAGACCTATCTTATATGGGGTGCTTGAAAGAACATGATATCCGTGATATATGATCTAGATAGGCATGAAGAAAATATATCTTTTCATCGAAGTGGAATTTGATGTCATTTCTTGCATTCAACAAAGGATAAAGTGTGAGGGGGTGACATCATATTTACAGACCGCATTGCCAATTTGACTCACAGATTTGATGGATTTCATGAACAGTTATAGATTTTTAAAAATCCATAACTTTAATAATAATAATAATGATAGGCATTTCTATAGTGCCGTCTATCTAGAAATTCTTAGGAGGCGCATTTATTAATACCCCGGTTTAGCCTAGCTGCCACTACAGCGCTCAAGCATTTCAAGGAATTAATCCCTGCCAGGTACCCATTTACATCACCTGGGAGGTGTTTCACAAAGATCCTAAGTTGAACTTATCTCTAAGTTGGACTTAAAAATTATGGACAGCCATTGGAGTCTTAAAATGAAATATATTCAAAAGCAGAAATTCAAGTATTTTAGACTTTTTATAAATTCCACATCCAGAACATGAAATCTCCTTGATGATAGAAAATATGAATGATTTGAATTAACAATTAATGCCAAAATAACTTTTACAATATATTTTCACAGATGCTAATGGCTTTCCATAAATTTTAAGTCCAACCTAGAGATAAGTTCAACTTAGGATCTTTGTGAAACACCCCCCTGGGTTGAGTGTTTATCGTGCTTTTTATCCCATATAAATCCTATTCGGATTACATAAAATCTCAAGAGCAAGGTTGATTTTTCAATAAATAGTAGCGATCGTGTTGAATGCATTTCGCTTCTTTGAATCACTTATGTCATGCCTCCCCCTTAAAAATTGTATATTGATTGCCCTGTATTAATAATATTTGATGCAATGTTTCAATGTTTCAACAGACGTGAATATGAAGGATAGGTCGACCCAAATCGGTGCGACGGAGTTAGATGAATCATGGGCTCTGGTAGACTACCAGGTAAGTAGTATATACAGGATAATTGGGTGGATTATGAGGGGAAAACAAGAATATTCCTGATTTAAGATAAAAATACTGCTGGTGTGATTTAACATGTTTAAAGTTATTTTGAATCAAATTTTGGATATGCCATTGATTAAGATAATTCGTTTTGTTTTAGGTGGTGTGTTATTGTTAAGACTGCATACATTAGTAGATTGCTTGGTTGCTTACGTCACTCTAGTGCTAGGAGAAAATGTAGACCTAGTTCTTAATCATTAGTAAGCAGAAGAGGACACGGGGCATCTCTGTTCTAAGAGCATTGCTGCATTGCATTCTGAAGTTAAATGAAGATAAAACTGAGTTTATGTTAAATGGATCTGCCATGCAGTTGAGTAGATTTTCTGCACAAAAGATCATCATTGGCAATTCAGAAAGTTTTTTTGATGCTGGAATGATCACTAAGTCTCACATTTCAAATTTTGTTAGTTCAGCATTAGTCTCTATTCACAATATTTGGAGGATCAGAAAATATCTGAATCAAAAAAGCCACTGAGCGGATTGACCATTCTTGTATTACATGTCATTTGGATATGTATGATTTCTTGTTTATTGGCCTTCCTCAAATTCAAATAGCCCGTCTGCAACGAGTTCAGAATAACGCAGCTCGGCTCGTCACTCATCGTAGTAGATCAGATAGTATTCCAGATATGTTTGAATCTCTTAATCGGTTATCAGTCTCAAAAAAGAATCATGAATAAGCTGTTACTCATTACTTATCCCTTGATGATACACATTTAATTACGCCGCTTGTCAGGTACTGCACCCTAAAAGGAGCAGATTTATCAGCAAATACGCGTAGGAGGGTGAAAATCTGCACCCCAATTGCACCCTTACTTATTAAAGGTAAAGACCAGTATTGGAAACGCCCCAATTTCAAAAAATGAAATGGAAGCTCTTATTACCAATCATGTGAAAGAATATGTTTTGACTAATACATGATGATAACAAAATTGGCAGGGAAACCGCCTACTAATTCATACATTTGGTAAATTAGTTTATCTATTGGTGTGTGAGAGATAAACGCACGTGTCGCGCTCGTGTGCGTAGTCCCATATACATCTTTCTTTGTACAGTGCTTGTAACTTTACCAAGGCTGGGCCGAGTTTCTTATGATTTTGATGATTCCAGAACCTTGCAGTACACACCAATATATATATATATATGCTAGATGATCAACCTTTTCCGATCGATTCCTCAACGTTTATTTCACAATGCGATCGCATGACCATAACTGGTCTTTATCTTTAATGTGTACCTTTATTCATCAATATCATAAACAAAACACAACATCAACAACACAAATAATCAATCAAACAAACAAATCATAACAACGGCAACATAATGCATTTTCGTGTTCATTCTATCCCTACAGTGGTCTTTGTCGCCATTTCTTCTCGCCTGTCGGCTCGGTCACCAGTCCATAGTCGAGTTCTTGTTCTACAATGGTGCAGACGTGTGTCAGACCAGTGCTGAAGACGACTTGAATTGCTTGTCCTTAGCCATCATGTATAGTCGCGAGTAAGTCGATTATTAACATAAATATAATCATATCTTTAGAATAATAGAATCCACAGTTCGATTATCTTCAAAATACAGGTACACAAGTAATTACGATTTAAATATATAATCATGGCCAGTGGCGTAACAAAGGTACAGACTTCTAAGGGGGCGCTGGCATAAAGGCAAGGGGGCAGGGCGGCGTCGATGGATGAAATAAAAATTATCAAGGTCATTGGGTAGAAGGATGTGGGAAGGGGTAGTACAGTTTCTTAACCGTGTGTTTTGTTTAATCCTCTCTCTCCTTCCTTTTATCAATAATACACAATTTTAACAGCCAGTAGTTCAAAAACCTATATTGAATACAACAGCTTTGCACCAAACTTTGTTAAAACTTCGTAGTTCTCATAATGAGTTTTGAAGTTTGAAACTCGTAGAATGAAAAGAAAGTGTAAGAAGAAATAAATAAAGAAATATAAAAATTAAGCTCATTTGTATTTCAACTTTGTATCAACATATTTTTAAAAAAATGTCTTTTATTTACCAAATATGTTCTCTAAAAAAACAGTTGGTAATAAGTGACATTAAAATTCTTAACATCAACTCTTACAGTAATTACCGAAACTTTACCAGTCATTACTCTCACTTATCACTAATAAATCATCAATACGATAAATTTTCATTCATAGAAATTGTAATTAGTCCAATATTATTCAATGACGCCATTGCGTTTATTATCACTTTCCATCCTCTTTTAAAGGGAAACTGCCAGGTTCCTTGTGACACATACGACGTACGAAACTCTCTTGTTCTTGATGAAGACAGTGTCACGTGACCTGACTTTGGGACGTCAGTCTGAAAGAATCTCGACGCCAATGAGACAGTTGATACAGTATATGCCCGGTAGGTGGAATGTCATTGTCACATGATGTCAAAAAGAAATTTAAAAAAAAATCGAAGGAGAGTCGAGTGGTACGAGGTGCATATTCAAAACATTTGGAGCCAATGTCTGAATATTGTACAAATGTACCAAGCTGTGAGAAAGAATAGGTGAAAATATGTATCTGAGGAGGGACCGGCACAGTACTATTTTTTCCGAGGAGTATAGTGCACTATACCATGGATGACGTCACAGTTACATCATATCAATGTTATGTTTGGTCACATGATGCTATGTTGATCAGTCACTGAACAGGATTTAATTGATCAAAAATATAATGAAAAATATTCGGAGCTCTGGCAGAGATTTGTATTCAATAGTGAAATTATATTTATCACTAATAACCACCAACTATTTTAATCATGTATTTCGAAAAGTCATGAATATTCATAAAAGGGATATAACAAGAATTACCATGAGACGAGTACAACATATTGGCCCGTATGTTGGTAACTCAGGGAGCATTATTTGGTTCGATTTATACTCATGCAATTCTTGATACAGTTAAATCAAATTGAACTTATAATTCTACTACGAGAGCGTTTTTTCTTCTCCAGAAGACAGGTACACATGCCTGAATTTGTAAAGGTAAGTTTGAGTACTGTCCACTCGACGGGAATGGTGGAAATACCTTCTTTTGTCCATCGATCTGCATTTCAAGTCTGTGTAAATAGTAACGTCGCCTGAAGAAACGATACGTTTCTTTTAAAGAAGATGGCGCAATGTAAAACGTCCATATTTGAGAGATACAGGGCATGCATTCAAAAATGATGTAGACCTACCGTTTCTTTTTAATACCAATCTATAAACGTCAATTTTAATACCAACAGATGTAGCAGAGATTGTAATGGACAGATGCATCACGCTGAATGCAAATCGTGATGAGGTTACTTGCTATCTGGAACTTTTGGACGACTTCTGCTCCCCTTGGGCTCGGCAAAACAAAGGTATGTTACTTAAAACCGACCGCAAAGACTTTCGAGATATCAACCTAAGGCAATTCAATAGTATTGTCCTTCATCTTTAGAATTTTGGGAACATTTCAGTGACATATCACGTAAATCCGAACTAGATTTCTATGGGATATACAATAGGCTAGTACTGAAATTGAACTTTGCGATTGTATTCACAGTACTAGTTTACCTGAAGTCTAGAAAGTATATAACATAACTTGTTTTAATTCATGCCTTTGGGTAAATAAACGCTTAAATAGTGCATATTCCTTTCACTACATTATATCTTATTTATTATTGAAGAGGTGTGGTTTTTTACAGCTGAAAACAGATAAGGATATTTAGATTGAAATACCCCTCAAAACAAAAAAGTTAGGAAAGAACTTTGAAAAGACACAGACAAAAACTTTCCATTTTATGTTGTGCACGTGGCATAAATATCAGAAGTCGAGAACAGTTTTAAACTAAACAGTGTAAAATTACTTGGACACCTGTAAATTCAAATTGTTTGGAAGAAACTTCAACACAATTACATAGGTAACGAAAGTAAAATTTAAACAGATGGCTCGAGGGAAGCAAGTTTAACAAGGAGACCTCCTTTATTTGATCTACTGAATCCCTAAGTTTCTGTCATTGCATTTATTCATTACTATGTTATTGAATTATATATATATATATATATATATATACATATAGTATTCAAACCTGTCTTAGTTGACACCTCTTTGTAAACTGCAGCTGGTCACTTGTATGCTATGGTCACATGTATCACCTCCTTGAAGGATGAAACATGTGTTGTAAAATCTTTATAGAAAGGCAAAATGTCTACAGTGGTCACTTTTTTTCGGATCCCCTAGATTGACCCTGATAGATCGACTGGTTTGACTCTACTCTGCACATACAATGCTTGTTTCATATCAGTATTCTTCATTTCGGTAAAAGAAAATCAAAGGTATTACATTGGGAATACTTAGATTCTCTGCCAAAGAAAGAAAATACACCTGTATAGAAACCCTTCTCAACTGACATTATTGTTGTTGTCATTATTATTATCGTTATCATTATTAATATAGTATTAGTTTCATTATCATTATCCTCATAATTATTATTTCATCATTATTATCGTTATTGTTGTTTTTGTTGTTATTCATTATCATCAATAATATATTGATTTTTTTAATCTTTATGATTATTAAATAGATCCCAATGATGTCACTAATGAGGCCTTTGGTGATAATGGTAATCTACTCGTGGACGTTGAACCCAGGCATACTGAAATCAAGAATGGTCAACATCCATTGGCACTTATGGTTAGCCTAAGCTTTTTAAAATCAATATACTATTTTGTAAAGTGGACGGGGTCCAGGAAAGAGAGATAGAGGGAGAGAGAGAGAGAGAGAGAGAGAGAGAAAGAGAAAGAGAGAGAAAGAGAGAGAGAGAGAGAGAGAGAGAGAGTAAGAGGTAGGTAGGTACGGGTGGATGGAAGAGATGCTTCAACGAGGTAAAATTACTAATAATACAGCTGATGAGTTTGAGGTGTTAAGCCTACTGGAACCGTGTGGTCCTTTTATGAAAGTTGATGCATGAAGTATTTCGTCTTTTTTGTGCATTGCTGATCGTCAATAAAATGGAGTTAATTTTTTTCAACTCTGTTTGTTGCTACAGCAGGCAGCCAGTGTAAATGAATTCGTTTTAATCAAATCAAGGAAACGCAAGCATTGCTTTAGACAAACAGAACTTTGTTATTACTGGCTCATTTTCTCTGATTGAGGTGTCATATAAACGGGCAGAAAATGAACTTTCTAGAAATGTGATTTTCCCTTTGAAATTCAGACACTGTCCGCCAAATGACTTTTTGGTACCCTCTCTTCAAATTGTTTTACTCACTCATGCATGAAATATGCATCATATAAGTTGAATCAAATGAAAGAGGTGGATCTAAGCTTTACAAATATGTGTCATTTATTATAATTGCGATTAAGTTATGATAAAACATCAATAATTCTCGGTTTCGTTTTTTCTGGGACGCACTGTATAATAATTTGTTAAGCGGAATAATTATGTGGATATATTCTACTGCGCTGCAAGAGCTCGTAAATGCCGTGCTATACAAACTACATTAACAAATGATTTTCAGTCTTGATCAAAATTTGTCTATTGATGGGGCTTTCTTTATTTCTAGTGGTAATCTTTTCCATAAACTAGGGGGAGCACAAAGAAATGATAGGTCTCCGAGGGTTACTTTGGTTTTATGGTTTTGGGGCAAGCACTGCATCCAGTGACCGGGGTAATAGTATATTTGTACAGCGCTTAGAGACATGTATTAAGCGCTATTAAAAAGCTAAATATTATCATTATTTTATATGGAGGTAATTGCAACATAAATGTGTCTTGCGTAATACGAAGGTTACGACCGAGAGTTTGAGACTTGATATTCAATAATTCAGTAACAGAAAGGGATAGATTTTTAAAATCCATCGGTATAACCAAAATAAATTCTGAACACTTATTTCGTAATCACAACACTGATATATTCATGTACTCGTCTATCCAAATCTTGAATTATGTCAGTTGAAATCATTATGATCTTGTATTGGAAGAAGCGTCATACATTATAATGTAACATGAAAAAAAGCAAATTAGAGAATTTAATAAGTTGACAATTTACCACATATTCTATTTAAATATTTAAAAAGATCTCGGTGATTAAACGCGACTAAACTGGAAGTGCGTTATACATCATAATATTTAGTCACAAAGTTGTAAAAGAGAACATGTTAAAACATATATTGTCTATCAAGTCGGTAAATATTTGGGCAGATCGGAGTTTAACACACCTTTCAAAACTGAAGTATTGATATTACCTTTGACCTTTGACCTACAGCAAGAACAGGAGTGCCACGCCAATCTCCTGACCCACCCTCTCTCCATCAAACTCATCGAACACAAATGGCGCATCCTGGGATCGGCTGCGCACTCGATGACGCTCTTCGTCTATCTCTTCTTTCTTGCTTTCCTCACCGGCTATGTCTTGGTGAACCCATCTTCCTTCTACGTCAAGTTTGCAAACAAAACGAACATTTTCTGGTATTACGACCCGCCGGATAAGATCATGCCCGATGACACGTACTCTGCCGAGTGCCTCTTCGGGGGAAAAAGTTGGATATTCTTGATGGTATTGGTCATTTTCAACATTATCAAAGAGGTATATATTTTAGATCTGTTTATTCTTCCACTCAAAACAGAATATACCATTTATTTTCAAATTTCTTACATAATAATTTTCTTCCCCAAAAATCAAACAATATAACTACATGTATTAAAATACAAAAAAAAATATGAAAACACTTCAGTAATACATTTATGTGAAAAAAGTGCATTACAATCGCTTGATATTAGAAATAAAATTGTATTATTGGGGAAATAACTTTGTTTTGAGAGGAAACAACATTTTTTATTTAAAAAGTACCCCCTAAAAAGAAGGAAAGAAAAAGAACAAAGATTGATTTATGCCTATGCGGTCTAAAAATATCGTACGGTCAATAGCAATTATAGGACCGCCACAGCAATCCCACGGTCACATGCGGTAGTGGTCACTTAAGTGGTCACATGGCGTATTTTTAATTTGTGGAGACAGAAAATCTGCGACTACCGTACGGCCTTTGAATTGATGATGCACGGTCGCAGACGCAAGGTACCCGCAAGGCGGCCGAAGGGGAACCATACGGCGACCGTGCGGGCAGACTGATGCTACCGCTTCACCCTTGGAGTATATAAAAACGCAAGGCTACCGTACGCCAGACGTACGATCGCCGTGGAACCGCTCTACGGCATGAACACGGCGTGTTTAATCGCTACAGCAAACCTAGAAATGAAAACAGTTATAACTCCGCGTTATAATCACACGGCGACCTGTACGTCCTGTGGGGTGTTTCATAAAGCTGTTCGTAAAGTTACGCATGACTTTACGAACGACTTGCATATGAAAAGCCAAATGAGATACTCAATCATTATTATTATTTATGAAGTTGAACTGTGCAGATGTAGATTAACATTCTTATTATAACGACCATTTTTAATGCAAAGTATATTTTTTGCCATAATTTAATTGACGTTATTGGAAATATCAGAAAAACTTTGGGCATCCTATCTGGCACTTCGTATACAAGTCGTTCGTAAAGTCATGCGTAATTTTACGAACTCTTTATGAAACACCCCCCAGTAAAGAAAGGGATACGCCCTAGGGTGACCCTGAGGCCACCGCAGATTCTCTGCGGCCGTCGCATGTTATCTCTCGATTTTGGGGGCGTACGGCCGGCGTATTTTAGCCGTAAAGCAAAATTGACCTAGACATGAGTTAACACGATCGCAACGACTTTCAACATATAACCGGGGGTAATTTCACGAGGCTTGTGTGAACACAACAATGACAAAACACAACCACGATGAATGATATTATGAACATTAATCATCCGAGCATGATTTCTACAGGAAATACAATTTAAAGTATTGAAAGTTGATTTTTAGAAAGTCTTTGTGATCATGTAATGGTTTTTGTTTATTTGTCGATTTACTTTGAAAAGATACCCATTTCACTTAGATAACTGCTCGACCTAAGGGCACTGTATCACTATAATAAATATACGTTAACATTAAACGTTAATAAGAAATGAGCATGTAAAAGAAGTAGTGTATTTCAATACGGGGAAAAGGGCGATCAAACAAGTTACATCATCAAAAATGCAGCTATTGCTATTGTACCATGGGTGTCAATCCGGGGGGGGGGGGTATATCCCCCCTAATATTTCAGGTGGGGGATGGCCTGTACAATCATCCCCCCAATAATTCACCATAAAAAAAATGAAGAGAAAAATTAATGATGAGAGCCCGATGAGAGTAGTCAATGGTTATTACTCGCAAGATGACCATCAATAACATCACATTTTGCTATCTCATTTTCATAATACATACATATATAAATAGAAAAACGAAGTAAATGAGACAAACGTATATGAGACAAGAATAAATTGAATTCTCGCTCAAACGGCTTCATCAGGAATTGATGAATTTATTCAAGCAACACCATCATAGAATTGCAGTGCGACAAATGCAAAGCCGCAGCGTTAAAAAGCAACGAGCTAAATGTTAAGCTCGAAGCGCAAAGTGCAAAAAAAAAGTAGAGAGTGGGAGTTAGAGATAATGAGAGACATGGGTCCCATATTCTCTGAAACATGGGCTCAGTATGGAAAACCATCGGGGGCCCTAAGGCATCTGCACCCAAGAAGCATATGGGACCAATATAAGACAAATCATGGGACCCAGAAGGGACCCATACCAAACTGGGCCCAAACGGGTATGCCCAGCTTAATCCCATCTGGTACCGATATTGGTTAACCCAGATATATCCCATGTGGGTTAACCCAGATTTTCCCCATATGTTACCCATATAGGCATATTCATATTCTACCCATATGTGTACGCCCAGCTTATTCCCATCTGGGACCCACACGGGCTGGCCCAGATAGATCCCATATGGGTTACTAAATATTGGCCCCATATGGGATACATAATAGGTTCCATTTAGCCCAGATGGCACAAGTGACCCACACGCTTCTACCTATTGGTTGCTTTGATCCATTGCCGAAAATATTTTGGCACCTATCATCCTATCACCCCAACCACGGATACAAATCGACACCCCTGTATTTTACATTAAGTATCTTGGGTACTGTATGCCGATGTCGGATTTTGGCTTTTTGTTAATTCTTGCGGGTTACTCGGATGAGCGCAAGACAAGAGGTTAAATCAATATATTTCTCTTCTCTCTTCAACACCATTCTTCAAATACCACTGTCAAGGTCTACCGTTTCTTAGACTGATAAACATATATTCTGACCCTTTTTTAAGTGCTACTGAAATGCAATCAAAATCCGTTTCTAAATCTTGCGTTTTCTTGGCTAGCATCTTACGGTTTCATATCTTCTGCTGTAGATATTTCAGATTTTCAGCAAGGGTCGTAGCTACCTTGATTATCAGCGCATTTTGGAGTGGTCCATCTACGTACTGACGGTTGCCCTTATTATTCCGATCAACAGTAACATACCGTACGATGGATACGTATTAAGAGAGGTAAGCACACTCTCTACGTAACCTCTTAATTTTCCTTCCTTCTATAGATTCATAGCTTGTCCTCACTCACAATATTGTTCCAAATTTCCTTAGGCTAATGAAGCACATGATTGATACCAACATTCTGGAAATGTTGTCGTTTTGTCTGGAAAGCTAGAACGACTACCATGGCAATTCTCCTCTAGCATATTATATTTACAGAGAGTATGTATCCTTTAAAATGGAATAAGAAGTAAGAAAACCCTTCTGAGCAATTATTTTACCCTATGAATAAGCACTGGCTATATTAGGCCTATATATTCAAACCTTAGACTGTAAGTTTCCTTAAAGGAAACTGCAGATATACTTGGCAAAATTGGTCCAAAACTATGTCCCACACGTACATCAACTTATAAAAAAGTATAATGTAGCAGATTGCAAGGAATAGGCCTATCGGAGTCACGTTGGAAAAGTGGGGAGTGAAAAATCAACTCTCATTGTTTGTACCTTTATTATGATATAGTTTTATATTTTTAATTATAATAATAATAATAATAATAATACATTTATATAGCGCAGCTTTTATACAAAATATATTCAGCTGCGCTGGTTAAGAGCTCCTTTTTTTTTACTAAATTCTACAAAATAAGATCTCTCAGTTGACAAATACGTTTTTAAATTGGATTTGAAAACATCGAGAGATGGAGTGCTTCGTATTTCTATTGGCAAGCTATTCCATAGTTTGGGGGCAGCAATAGCAAAAGCACGGTCCCCAAGAGTAACTTTAGTTTTGCCATGGGGAATATGAAACAATAACTTATCTGAGGAAGTGCGCAGGCTACGACTTTGAGTTGAAGTAATTCTGTGATGTAATTAGGGGCTTGACCACTCAATGATTTATAGACAATTAACAATATTTTGAATGAGATTCTTTGACGGACTGGTAACCAGTGGAGTTCTCTCAGAAGAGATGCGGTTGAAGTGAATTTCGACCGACGATAGACAAGTCTTGCACATGCATTATCAGTGGAATCTATGTCTTAAATACGATGCTAAGACGTTCATTTTTAGCTTGTCATTTGAAAGTGAATCAGATGCTACTCTTCGCAAAGACAATCAACAAAATTAACTCAAGGTAAATTTGAATATGAGTATGACACGTCGAAATCATGTTCGGATTACGTTTAACGTCATGGCAATAATTCCCACAATAATGGTTGATGGACAAGGCTAGTGAACTAGCCGAAAGTCTTTCAATGAATGTATATCTTGGTCTAAATCTGACAGAAATGGCAATGGAATTGTGGAGCACTGGCTATTTTCCTGGCCTGGATAAACCTTGCCCTCTACGTTCGGCAGACATTGACTTTTGGTATCTACGTCATCATGTTTGAAGGTATGGCCCCAAATTCTTACAAAAAGTGCGGTATGGCCAAAGTTGATTTTTTGTTGTTGCTGTTTTGGCTTCAAAAGGGTCCCAATTGGCCAAAAATGATGGGGTTCAAATTTTCAGACCCCTCCTTCCTGTCCTGGGGGGGGGGGGGGGGGGTCCATATTGGGCGCCAAAATGGCTTATATAGAGCGCAATAGGGAAATTTGGTGTCTTCGGGAAAATTTGAACCCCATCATTTTCTCATAGCTTGGACCTCAATGAATCCAAAAATGCAACAACAAAAAAAAAAAACAAAAAAAAAAAAACAATTTTGGCACAAAAGTCCTACGGGAGCTGTTTCAGTGACATACCGTACCACACTAAAACGGTGATGTTTCAACGACGCATAATGAATTATTTTCGGCTGAGTGAACTAGTTTATGACAATGGCATGCATTGCTTAGTCTTGCATTAAATAAGGTGAGATAAATAGACTTAAAGTATTTTCATTCAAATTCAACCTCCGAGTCTTCTGTAGGTTTTCGAATCGGTATAATGTCACTGTGATGTAGTGATGGTCAACTGTCCAATTCGTTTCATCACACAAAACGAATGAAAGATCAAAGTTTCAAAATCTGGTCTGCTTGCCAGGAGTTAGAATATTATAATACATGTATCATTTTACAATACAATACAATACAATAAATTCATTTCTATAGCGCTCTTACACACAGTTGTTTCACATCACTTTTAATAAACATTATCGAAGAAGTTGTTGATCATGGTCAACATAGGGTTAATGACCTTCTGGCTCTAAACAGACGATGCATTATATATATATATCCTTTTTTGTTGAGAGGACCTATACAATACAATATGTACTCTTATTTCAACGAGAGAGTTCTACCTGTTTGATTTATTATCCCTCACAGGTGAAGTAAATGGGTACCTGGTAGGAATTTATTCCTTGAAATGCTAAAGCGCCGTATGGCAGCCGTGCTTAAGCCAGGGTAATAATTGGAAGCGCCAGGAGGGTCAAATCTGACTGACATGAGCGCTATACAAGAACCCACTATTATTATCATTATTATTACTAAAACAGCAAAATATTAACGAAAAACAACTTTGAGTGTTACCCAAGACTGTGGTGGTTTCTCTCATTCACCAACTCATCGAATGCCCATGGGAAAACATAAAACATGATTATGCATATGATAAATAATAATTAAGATTCATAACACTATACATATTGTATTTATGTTCAGACGTTCTTTGCAGCACACTACAATTCCTAGCCGTTATAATGCTGTTCGTAAATGCGTTTGCTCTGGCATTCCACATGTTACTTCAGAACCAGGTGAGCATAAGACACCTCCCCCCCCCCCCCCAGTGTTATTTAGGTATATGCCAGGTACACGCGTATGTATTTTCCCTCCTTTTGGGGGGGGGGGGGAGGCGGTATGTAATTAAAAAAAAAGTTCTCTCCTCAAAACAGAAGAACCGGGGCGGCGTCAGTCTATTCTTTTAAAGAGATTGAGAGATGATATTTTTAACGTCATCTTGCTTTAAAAGATTGCATTCGCTCTGGTATTCAACACGTTACTTCTGAACCAGGCGACCATGTGATAAAGCTTCCCTCCTCTCTAGGAAAGAGCAAGGGCGGTGCCTGGTCGGGCCGGGGCTTAGGACCCAAGCAGTGTCGGCATGAGTTGATAGAGAAATATATAGAGAATCAATTTTCACTGAAATTTAGATATTTTTTGTTTGTCCTGTATTTGGTCTGTTATGTAGCTGTAGGAGTTAGACCTGAAGGCTGCCCACAGCGTTCTAAACCTTTAAAAGTTGGTTCAGCCATATTTTGGTTTAAATACTCATCATGAATTCAATGTCGCACAGCGTAAAAGCAATTTTGATAATAATAATAATAATATTCGGCTTTTATATAGCGCCCAATACATCGATACAACGATTCGCTAAGCGATTTACAGATATATTCTAAAATATTGACACTGCGTCGGCTGCATTTACTACCATTGTCAATACATGGCTTTTACGACATTCTGGCTTCTTCACTTGCCGGCTGCTGAAGATTATACAATATTAATGACAGTTTTTCTCGGTCACCACTTGTTTTCATGTACTCTTTCTTAGCCGGATTTTCACTCTTTCTGGGACTCCTTCCTTCGGACGATCGCCATGACGATAGGCGAACTGGATTTTAATCTGGTATTTCATGCTCAAAACTATCTGCGTAGTAAGAATGCCACTTCACATCATGAGGACGACTTCACGAAAGCTGTCTTCTCAGAAGTTATCACAAGAATAATGTTCGTGGTTTTCGTCATCGCGATGCCCATTATCGCAATGAACCTTTTGGTAAGCATCTGGTTGATAGGTCACATGACTATGGATCTCTTGGTTTACGGTTTGAATCACGTTCGGTATACTACACGGTCGCAAATACTGTCGAAAAAATCTACCTATGGCGTTCAGTTAGAATTTAATCTTTGCAAAAGTTTCTAAAAAGGAGGAGAGCAATGAAGAATTTGATTGAAGCTACGCGACCACTATTCTATCATCCCTCTTTGCATATACATGTATATATATATATATATATATATATATATATATATATATATTTATATATACAGTGCGTCCCGGGAAAAACGAAACCGAGAAGTATCGATGTTTTATCATAACTTAATCACAACCATAATTAATGTATCATTCAATGATACATAATTGGAAAGCTTAGAGTCTCCTCTCTCAGTTGATGCTACTCACGTGATGCATATTTCACGCATGAGTGATTAAAAGCAATTTGAAGGAAGGAAACCAAAAAGTAATTTGGCGGGCGGTATCTGAATTTCAAAGAAAAATTCATATTTTAGAAAGTTCATTTTCTGTTCTTTCATATGATACCTCAATCAAGAAAAATGAGCCAGGAATAACAAAGTTCTGTTTTTTTAAAGTAGCCCTTACATTTTCATAATTTTAACAAACGAATTCGTTTTCACTGGGTGCCTGCCGTAGCAAAAAGCAGATTTGACAAAAGACTTAACTCCGTTTCGTTGACAACAGGGGCGGCCGAGCGACTTTCAAAGTGGGGGAGCACCAACAAAAAAGGGCACTTTCTGGAAAAAGGGCACTTACAGTGGGAAATCTCAAAGCGAAAATATACAATTTTTAGACATTGGTATATACCCCTACATTGTGATTACATTATCAGGGATGATTTCAATATTTGTTTCTCTTCATATATCATACAAGATATCGCTTTAGCATCAAACTTTACAGTTGGGTGTGATGTCTGAATATGCATTTACGAGCGAGCGAAGCGAGCGAGAAAACTTTGAAAGATCTGTGAGGTCGCAGTGCGAAAAATTACATCTTATAAAGAGGAAAAAAGCCAATCGTGATGGGGTTATAAGCACATTCTCATAACGGAAAACTGAAAAGACCTTTGATAAGTAACATAATTATATAATCTTTAAATGCGAGCGAGCGCAGCGAGCGAACTTTGGGGGAAACTGCTCTTAGTCGCTTTAAATAAGGGGCACGTTTAATGATTACACGAAAAGGGGACAATTATCGAAAGGGATAAGACACTTATTAGAAAAGAAAAGGAGCACGTGTATAAGTACAAAGAATAATTATAAGAGGTGAAAATGAGGCATTTTTTCACTTGAAAAGAGGCACTCACCAGTGATGAAAAGGAGGCGTTTACGAAAATGGGAAATGGGCATTTGTTAACGGAAAAGGGGCACCCATCAGATTTTAATAGGGTCATTTATAAGAGGTGAAAAGGGGATAGGTCCCTCATTAGAAAGGAAAAGGGGCACGTATCACTACTAAAAGGGGAATTATCAGAGTTGCAAAGGGGCACTGACCAGATATGAAAAGGGGCACTTATGAAAATGTAAAAGGGGCACTTATAATAAAGGAAAATGTGCATTTGTTGAATGAAAAAGGGGCACCGTTCAGATGTTTAAAAGGGGTAGTTATGAGAAGGGGAAGGGGAAGTTATGAGAAGGGGAAGGAACTCTCTCTTTTTAATGGGGGCACTTATCATAAGGAAATTGGGCACTTATTAGAAAGGGAAAGGGGAAGTTATGAGAAGGGGAAGGAGCTCTCTCTTTTTAATGGGGGCACTTATCATAAGGAAAAGGGGCACTTATAAGAAAATAAGAGGGGCACATGTTAAAATGAAAGGTGCGCTCATTCGAGTTTAAAAAAGGGGTAGTTATTAAAAGGAGAAGGGGCACTTCTTACAAAGGAAAAAAGGGGAAGTTGTCAAAGTAAAAAGAGCACCTCTCAGTTTTGAATAGGGCAATCATCAGAGGTGAAGGAGGCACTTATTAAAAGTGAAAAGGGGCACTTCTCGTACCTGAAAAGATGCACTTACTAGAGATTAACAAGGGCACTTATGCAAGATAATTTCAAGATTCATGAGAATGGAAAATGAACATTTATTGCAAAGGAAAATGGGAACATGTCGAAGGAAAAGGGGCACGTGTCAAAAATAAAAAGGTCACTCGTCAGAGGTGAAAAGGGGAAAGGGGCACTTTTACTAAGTAATAGGGGCACTTGTCAAAGTAAAAGGGGCACCTTTCCTATGTAAAAGGGTCACTTCTTACAAAATAAAAGGGGCACTTTTCCTATGTAAAAAGGGGCATTTTGGGGGTATCTGAAAAAGTTGGGGGGGGGGGGCACTGTGCCCCCCCCCCCGGGAGGGCCGCCTCTGGTTGACAATCAGCCATGCATGAAGACTCTCGTGTACGGCTGATTGTCAACGAAACGGAGTTAAGTCTTTTGTTAGTTTCGTTTATTGATACGGCAGGCAGCCAGTTAAAACGAATTCGTTTAATAAAGTTATGGAAATCCAAGCACTACTTTAAACAAACAGAACTTTGTCATTCCTCTCTCATATGTCCTGATTGAGGTGTCATATAAAAGGGCAGAAACTCAACTTTCTAGAAATGTGAATTTTTCTTCGAAATTCAGATACCGCCCACCAAATGTCTTTTTGGTTTCCTTCCTTCAAATTGCTTTTAATCACTCATGCGTGAAATATGCATCACGTGAGTAGCATCAACTGGAAGAGGAGACCTTAAGCTTTCCAAATATGTATCATTCATTAATCATGGTTGTGATTAAGTTATGATAAAACATCGATACTTCTCGGTTTCGTTTTTTCTGGCACGCACTGTATATATTGGAATAATTTAATGTCCTCTACAGGTTGGTGTGGCTGTTGAAGATATCCATCGCATACGGCAGAAGGCAACATTCTATTATATGAAACTCAAGGTTGGTTTACAGTCATCCTATTTCATGAGCTTAATTTACGAGAAACGATTGTTGGCGAATTTGTCGAAGTATTGTCAAAATAAGATCGGAAAAGGTATGCCCCTTGCGACTTTAAAACTTACAGATCAGATAATGTCAATTTTTTTTTTCTTTTTCCACTTTTAATGACAACCATGCGTAGGCCTATACGCATTGTTATACAAACTTTCTTTATAATAATAAACGAATGTATAACGTGCCCTTACCCGAAAATTTCGATCAAGGCGCGACAAAAATGAATATGCAATTAAGTAAGACTTTAAAAAAAAGCTCAACAGCTAGAAAATCAACAGGTAGTGAAAGTAAATTCTTAGATAAACAAATACGCTTTCATTTGTGATTTGAATTATTTTGTGGAATCGGAATTCCTCACATGAGAAGGAGGTGAGTTCCAGAGAACGGGTGCAGCTTTAGCGAAGGATCTGTATCCGTAGGTTCTCGTCATCGGCACATGCAACCATGCAGTGCGTATGTGTGTGCGTGGGTGTGCGTTGCGTGTGCGTGTGTGTGTGTGTGTGTGTATTGGGTTTTTACAGACGTGTATCAATCAGATATGATTATTTACGTCTGGGGACCGACCTTAAACGTCATCCGAAAGACGTGATCAGTTTCCCCGGTCAGTTTCGAACCTGCGTCCTCGGCTGAATCAGTTTGTAACTTCCACGTTTATCTGGATTACAGGCGCAGGCCACAACGCCGAGTCTCGTCCATGGCCTCTGATAACCGCCGCAGTGATTTCACTGGCCAAGTTACTGATGACACCATCTTAGACAATTACTCAGGGGTCTGCCCGTGTAAAATATTGAAGGTAGTCTGACAAATATGTAATATGATTGTCTTTTGTTTGGGTAGCCAATGCAATTGGCGAACTATAGGACTTATTCGAGTGTACTTCATTGCCTTTAACAGTGATCACATGTGCTGCATTGATGTGTACCTTCTGCAGTCGAGAATCATGTTTATCATTGTAATGTATTCTGGAGTTTTGTATATGAAAGAGTAATAATGTAGCACGTACAGTTTCTAACACAGAAATAACACATCCTGTTCATCCCTTGCTCAGGTGGATCGAATCATAACCGCAGAGAACACAGCTTTCAGTACGCCCCTAACTAAATACATCATTAGATGTCTCCCCATCACGGTTCAATACCTAAAGATACAACTGTCACGCAGGTCTAAATTAACTCGGTTTCGAATGTGGTTTACCTCCGTTGTCGATTTTGAAAAGCTTCGAGAAAGCGTGAGGGCGGTCTGTAAGAGGAACCAAGAGAGGCAAGAACTTCGTGCCCAGGTAAAATATAGATTTATGTTTTATTATGATTCTATCTATCATTGGCGGATGGGGGGGGGGGGGTAACCGGGTCACGTGCCCCCCCCCCCCCCCGTGCTACTAAAAAGGAGAGGGAGGAGGGAAGAAGAGGGCTGAAGAACTTTTTTGGGTCGTCAGAGACTTCGCAACTGGATTCGGAACTGCCAAGGTTAATTGAAAAGAAACAGAATGTTGAGGACTTCACAGCAACTATTTCGGAAGCGATTGCGATGGTTATTGCGATGGTTATGGCGATGGTTATTTAAGAAGAAGTGAATAAGGGGTAGGGAGCCTGAGGCCATACATATATTTTTGTTGGATTTAAAGAGATAAGTCCGGCAGAGCGATTGTTCACAAATATTTATCACTAATTAGGCCAAAAAAGATGCATCTAGCCTACCATATAGTGAGGCTGAAAGTAATTTAATTTGACATTTTACTTACGTTAGGGGTCTTTCGTTTACGTACATGTACTGTTCTATTAAATTATTTTTTCTATTCATTTGCAGAAGTCATCGTGCAGTCATAAAGACCAACCCGATGGTGGGCCAGACCAAACTCTTCTCCAGAAACTGTGTCAAATGCGAGACCAAATGCGAGACGAAATAAACGGTTTGATAAGTCAAGTCGAACAGCGAACTCTCTAAAGGTGTTGAGAATACAATGAGTAGTGACGAGTGGAGTACTATATAGGCTTAGTAAATTGTAAGAGTTTCTTTTCATACGTGTTCTGACTATCACTGAATTTATTTGTAATTTTAACTCCCCCCCCCCCTGTTTCCTTTTTACCTATTGATTCTTTATTCTTTCCTAACGATCCGCTTTTCTGTCCTACTATATACTTTACTTGATATTTGTTTCCCGCCATTTGTGATTTCTAAATCCTATTTGATCAGGGAAGCTGTCTTAACTAAACTTTGCTTCCCTCTTTTTGACAAGGAATATGAAATAAATATACTAATTACTGTGAAGCGGTATTTAATTCAAAAGAGGTAATCACAGCTTACCCTAACCCTTACTGTACTGGGGGGGGGGGGGGGGTGGGAGGCCCCCCCCCCTCGACATTTATGGAGATCGCGCCGCAACCGCTTGGAATTTTGAATTGTCGTTTCATGACTTTTTTTCCTCACGTCTTGCGCACATTTTGATACCATTTTCGTCAAAATCGGATATACCTGTAAAGTGTAACATAACAATTAGTATGCGCATGTCATAAGAAAGTGCTATGATTGCATATATTCATGTACAAGCAGAAATGTGAAGATATGAATTGATATCAAATTGCTTTTATATGTTTCTCAGAGTAACTTGATGTATTCCAGAACAAAAGAATACATTAGAAATAAAACAATAGCTATAATAAGAAATGAAAAACAATAAAATACATAAGAAAATAAATAGTTGAAAATCGCATCAAATTTGCATTAATTATCATTATTAATTACATCAAATAACTATTTTGTGTTAGAAAGGAAGTTTCATATGAATAATTAGTTTCAACATTCAAAAAGTGGAGTCTGACAATTTTTGTAATGATTCTAGTTCCCTAAATATAGTTCCAGATTTCATATTCATGAATGCGTAATTTGCGTATTCATAATTTATGCAAATTAACCTATGCATTTTCAAATATCATACAAAATAATGAAACCTCATGAATTTGAGATGAAGGAAACATTTATTCAATACATTTTCAAGATTCTTCACAAGTCTACGGACAAATATGTAGAGTTCTCTGTAAAATGCATAAAATTAGCATTTTGCATAATTAATTAGGCTATAACGACAAAATTTGCATATTAGGAAAAAACTAATTATACCATCTTGTTCCTTACGTAAATATCTACAAATATGAAAATTTTCGTGTTCATCAGACATTCGACGGCCGAGATCATAGGGGGGGGGGGGGGGGGCTCCCAGTACTCACATGATTGGAAATACTGGATAACCCTATAGTCTAAGTTTCATTGACTAAGAACTTATCCTTTTAAAATTATATCAACAATTCAAAAGCTTAACCTTATGTTAAGTTTTTGATGTTGACGCCGCCGCCGTCGCCGTCACCGCCGTCACCGGAAAAGCGAAGCATAATTATGTCTTGCTTTTTGCTACGCAGGCGAGAGAAAAATGCAAAAAGGAACTACTATTGCGATTTGTTACAAAATAATCCGAAGGACACAAATAAAACATGGGCCATTATCAATGAATTGTTAGCTGGGAAAAGCAGATCACCTAAAAGTGCTGAGGTGGATAAACATGTTCACAGGTTCATGGAGAAAATATGCTATTACATCTGTATTTGATATTGCTAATGAATTTAATGAATATTTTGTAAAATTTAGACCGAATTTAGCAAATGAATTGCCGAATGAAGATAAAGAATACGGTGATTATATGAGGCGGAATAAAGAGCAATCTCTATTTCAGTTTTCGCCTGTTTGCCGATGATTATAACCGATTTAATACTGTTCTAGCTGAACAGCGTAAATCGATTTGAATGAAGTGAATAACAACAAACGGAAGATACACAACTTAAATAAACTTACAATTAATTCATTTGAAACTAATTTCATATTAATAAGAAGAGGATATTGATATTGATATTGGTATATAAAACATTCATGCAAGCATACATTTCTTATGGAATAGAGGTGTGTGGCACTTATAGAGGACTAGCCTAAGTATACGGTACTCACAGAAAAGGGCAGTTCGTGCTATAACATGTAGTACATGGAGATCTCCTACAATTCCACTGTTTAAAAGATTGCGAATCCTAAATGTGTAGAATTTAGAAGATTTATCATTTCTACTTTCATGTTTGTTCTAGTTAATTACAATTATAGAGCATAGCTATTCAACAATACAAAAGGAATTCCAAAACACAAGTTCAATAATATTGTCAGAGTTTTTTGTGGGCAGTAAATTTTGGGATAGATTTCCTATTAATGTCAGTTTAACAAGGTCTAGATATAAGTTTCGTAATTCAGTTACCAGTCATTTGTTCAATCATGAATGACAAAATCAATGTAAATAGTCTGCATTTGTACAATAACAAAAATCTTATTTTTGTATTACCATTTCGTATATTGTAAGACATTTTTAAGTACAGGTCGTATTCTTATTTTTTTAAGTTTCGATTGTAATAGTGAATTCATTTATGTTGTTGTTTTGTTACGTTTTCAAAACTGATTTGAACCAACATACTTTGTTTAGCTGTTTAAAAGGGTTAATTAGCTGGCCCCTTTTACCAACCAATAGTTTCTCTTCTTGTATAAGTGAATATAATTGTATGAAATGTATTATTGCACTGCTGTTGGTTAATAAATAAAATAAAACAAATAATTATCAAAAATCAAATACAAAGATGGAATCTAAATACAGTGTATTGAATTAAATTGAATTAAGTTAAAAATACATTCAACCAATGCATTTGCCGGATCTCGAGTTATACGCCGGATAGACAACAAGAGCTAATATAGTCATATCAGAGTTAGAAATAGGATGGATTCAGATGCGGGACTGACTGAGGTGTGTGGGTTGGAGCTAGAAGATTTGAGATTAAAAAAAAAGTGATCTAGTTCTAACATGGTTGGGGCATTAGATCGCTAGATGAGCAAACATATCACCATTTTGATTAAGTAAATCAAATCCAGGCAACATAATAACTTTTGTTTTCTTGGCCACAAACTTATCAATGAATTTCCCCATAATCAATTTTTCTCTTTTACCTTCCAAAATTTTACAATATGTATGGCCCACGATGTTTTTTTAGTTGTAGAGGACCTATAATAATATGCTAACTATAATATTTATTTTGAGTAGAGAGGGAAGCAGAAAAACAGAAATCATATTTTCGTACACGACAAAGAGAGAAGTTTTGAATAAAAATACGTCACAATCTACTGACCAAATTTCCAATTTGAGATTTGCATAGATTTAGTGATCTCATATTTCAAACATTCATAGCTTCATATTTTTTTAACTTTCGCCTTTCTGTTTCTCTTATTTTGTTCTGCCTTTAATGATTTATTAAAATGTGGATTGCCTTTTAATGGGGCTTTCACATATACACTCCGGGGCCCGTACGGCGAGTAAAAACAGACATTTTGGGAATTTCCGGCCGGCTGCCGTCAAGTTCCTACGGGCGCCGGGACAGTTTTCTAAGCCGTACGGGCCCCGTGGTGCTGAGTTGGCTGCTCCCAATTCTCCCGGCGTTTTTAACTGACCGTTAGCCCGTAGAAAACCCGTAAAGGGCCCGTGAGGCACCTTACGGGTCCCGTGCGGGCTCCGGACGGTGCCCGGACGGGCCCCTTACGAATTTTTTCTTCAATTTTCATAAAAAAATATTTACGGGCGCCTTGCGGTGCTCAAGGGTTCCGTACGTGTGCCCTACGGCACCCTCACGGGCCCCTCAAGAGCCCCGGGTTGATATGCACAACAACAGGGTCTGCCGTCCGGTAATCCGCACCTAACAACAAACAAAGAAAAGCCGGAGACACATTCGTATACTTGGGGGAGGGAGGAAGACAAACAAATGTATAATGAGTGCAGTTTTCACATTTTAATGAGATTTGTTGAACGGAAGAGTAAAATCAACCCAAATTTTTAAACGATTATAAACGAATTTTTATAATTCATTGCTTTCCTTTCATTATTCATCATCCTCCCCATCTAAATAATGATAATAATAATATGATGATGATGATTATAATGATAATAATAAGCTGGAGAAACACTAGCGTACGGGGGGGGGGCACGGTGCAGAATGCGGATATAGAGGCAGACTGCACCCATAATGGGTGGCCATGAGAAACAAAAGAGAGAGTGGGGAGAAAAGAGAGAGAAAGAGAAGAGAGAGAGGAAAAGAGATGAACAGGAGCAAGAGAAAATGTTTTCTTTGGAGAGGGCTTTATACCAAGTTCAAAGAAAAAAATAATATTTAAAACCTTCCGGAAAATGTGTTTTGTCTCTATGAGTTAAATGACAATGGAATAGCATAGTCTCCAAACAAGAATTCATGAATCAACACATTGGCTTTATGGCCAGCACGTAATTGTTTTTACCGGCGAGATAGAAAAAACCCCACCAGTCTTTATTTCCATTAATTGCTGGAGAATTAAATTTGAATGGGGCGCCCATAACCCGTGTGTCTAGATTGACACCTCCAAGTTACCTCCCCGAAAAAAAATCTCCTTTTTAAAAATTAATTCGGTTATATATACACAGATAAAACGTAATTATTTAAAATGCTAACAGTTCATTACAATACAACACCTTGTTGAATTTTTTAAACAGGCCTTGTTACTTGTAAACAACCCTTTTAAACGGTGTTTTTATTGTGCATAATGATCCATTCCAAACATACAGAGTACAGTGTTAATTAGACACGAACTCAAGCTAAGCTAAATAACTTAGTTTAGCCGCAGAGGGAGCTAAACAAGTATGACGAATCTTTCAATGGGTTGAACATTTTCTGGCTTGAAAAGGACGTCACGGTGTTCGGACACACACAATGCGTCTTCTCGTGGGCAAATCGTGCATCCGGGATTAACTCAATACGGCTTTCATGCATGCGCTCTCAGGTTAAAAACACGCAGCTTCTCGCACATGAGAATTAATCCAAGGCGCCTTAATCTTTCATTTCCGAAAATGGGATAATTTTACAGAGAACATAGATTAAACTAAACTTACTGTATCATTGATATAAGTATTATTATTATCATTACTTATATTACTTCTCTTTTCCTCACATGTCTGGAGACTGGGTTAGAAAGAGGGAGGGGAATGGGAATGGAGTGAAAAAAGGTGGAGTGTGTTTGTGTGACTTTATGTGTGTACATATGAGGGATGGATAGACGGGATTTCTTTTGTTTTTTGTGTGTGTTTTGTCTTGTGTGTGTTTTATTTCTTTTTCTTTTGGTTGGTTTAAAAATCTTCAGGGCAAGTACTTTGTTTTATCTAAAGATAATTATCATTTTATGTACAAAGCATTGCTCGATTTGAAAAACAAGACAAATGCAACAGCGCCCGTTTAAGTTCAGTATACGAAATGGATGACATCATTCATGACATATCACAATCAAAACAAAAAGCCTTTAGTTTGTGGATCGCGACAGCAAGGCTAAAACATGTAATTTCAGAAATTGATCTCTGTGACCTTGACGTTTGAACTCGAAATCTGACCAGATCATCTTCCCATGTTGATACATACAATCATCAAGTTTAAGCCTGGCATCTCTAGTGATTCTAGAGATTTGGCAATCACAAGGCTAATAAAGCAAATTAAGACACTTCCTACCCCATTATATTATTTTATCCTTGTATTCTACGCTTATTCTTCCTTACTTGAATTACGGACTTATTGCCTGGGGCAGTGCAGCAACTTCCCAAATTAATAGACTCTTTATATTACAAAAAGAGCGATTCGAATTATTAATAATGCAGATTTCCGGGCACACACGAATAATTTTTTTCTAAATAATAACATTTTGAAAATTAAAGACTTGTATATTTTTTTTTAGCTTGAACAGTTAATTTACAAGCTCAACAATAAACAATTACCTTTGCCTTTTAATGATATGTTCGTAAGAAATGATTCGATTCATAGTTACCTCACTCGCCAGGCGAGCTCTTTTCATCTACCATTAAATAGAACATCTTTTGCACAAAAGACATTTGTTTTTACAGGTCCAAAACTGTGGAATTCTCTTTCAAATGATATTATACAGTGTAATTCGATGCAAATTTTCAAAAGGAGACTAAAAAGCTTTCTTCTGAATAGTTACTAGGCTATTTTATTCCCCAATCAAATGTCATTTGTAGTGTGACTTTATGCAACTTTGATTGTTTCTTTTTATAAACATGTATGTATTTATAAATGTTTTGCGTTTAAAAGTGATTTTTTGTTTTACTAAATCAGTTATTTTTGCCGACGATGATTCCAACCAATTTAATACTGTTCTAGCTGAACAGGGTGAAATCGATGTGAATGAAGTGAATAATAACAAACGGAAGATACAAAACTGAAACAAATTTATAATTCATTCATTTGAAAATAATTTCATATTAATAAGAAGAGGAAATAAAAATGTATATGGTAAACTGAAAATCGCTGGCGACGAAATTGAAGAGTGCTATTTAGATTGCGACAGCGTACTCTGATATTGTTATATAAAACATTCATACAGGTTTCAGATTTCAGTTGCAAGTCATTTGTTCAATCATGAATGAAAAATCAATGTAAATATTCTGCATATGTACACACGCAAATCTGATTTTATATTATCACTTCGTATATTGTGAGACAGCTTTAAGTACATGTTCTTATTTTTTAAAGTTTCGATTGTAATATTAAATTAATTTGTTTGTTGTTTTGTAACGTTTCTAAACTGATTTGAACCAACATACTTTGTTTAGCTGTTTAAAGGGTTAAGCTCAACTAGCACATGACATGTGCTATTAGCTGGCCCCTGTTACCAACCAATAGCTTATCTTCTTGTATAAGTCAATATAATTGTATGAAATGTATTACTGCACTGCTGTTGGTTAATAAATCAAATAAAACAAATAATAATCGAAAATCAAATTAAAAAATGAAATCTAAATTCAGTGAATTAAGTGAGAGATACATTCTACAGATGCATTTGCAAAATCTCAAGTTATGCGCCGGATATAGACATCAAGAGCTAATAAATTCGTATCAGAGTTAGAACTAGGATGGATTCAGATGTTGGACTGACTAAGGTGCGTGTTGAGTACGTATCGGGGAATGGAGCCAGAAGATTTTGAGATAGAAAAACAGTAGGCCAACTTAAAGGTTATTCTAAAGGAAAATGCAAACTTGTCGATGGAAAAGGGGCACCCATCAGATTTTGATAGGGTCATTTATAAGAGGTAAAAAGGGGCATTTATGAAAAGGGGATAGGTCCTTTATTAGAAAGGAAAAGGGGCACGTATCCTTGTTAAAAGATAAATTATCAGAGGTGAAAATGGGCACTTATCGCTTCTGAAAAGGTACAATGACCAGATATGAGAAGGGGCTTTTACCAGAATGGAAAAGGGGCACTTATGATAAAGGAAAATGTGCCTTTGTTGAAAGCAAAGGGGCACAGATCAGATTTTGATAGGGTCATTTATAAGAGGTAAAAAGGGGCATTTATGAAAAGGGGATAGGTCCTTTATTAGAAAGGAAAAGGGGCACGTATCCTTGTTAAAAGATAAATTATCAGAGGTGAAAATGGGCACTTATCGCTTCTGAAAAGGTACAATGACCAGATATGAGAAGGGGCTTTTACCAGAATGGAAAAGGGGCACTTATGATAAAGGAAAATGTGCCTTTGTTGAAAGCAAAGGGGCACAGATCAGATTTCAATAGGGGCATTTTAATATCGGAGGTGACAGGGGGCTTTATGAAAAGGGGGAAGTGGCTCTTTTTTAATGGGAGCAGTTATCATAAGGAGAAGGGTTACATGTGAAAAAAGTGTGCTTATTCGAGTTAAAAAGGGGTAGTTATTAAAAGGGGAAGTGGCACTTCTTACAAAGGAAAAGAGGAAATTGTCTAAGTTAAAGGGGTACCTCTCAGATTTGAATAGGGCGATTATCAGAGCACATGCCCCCCCCCCCCAAAAAAAAAAAAAAAAAAAAAAATCCAAGATTGGTTGAACTTTGTTAGACCCCTTCCCCAGGATGTTAATCGATTGCATGTCAGTTTGTCATACATCATGAATACTCAGATGCTCGATTTCAAGCCATTCATTTGACCTCCACACAATTTTAAAAGACTTTTTTTGTTGAAACTATTTTGGTCAATTAATACTCTTTATTCAATATTCAACTTGATAAAGAAATATATTTTTTTACTTTAAAAATATAATATTGTCATTAATATTCACAACCATACAAGTTCCTATTTTGCATACCAAAGTTTAATACTGACAGAATGGAATAGTTAAATTCTATTTTTGACAGGGCTTCATCTTACTTTGCTGTACTTGTTGATCAGACAAAATCAATTTTATCTAATATTATGCTAGAATGTATGTTATAATAATCAATATAAACAATTGAAATAGCCAAGTGTATCGTGAAAACCATGAAATTTTAGGGTTTCATTTTTAGCTTCATTTATTCAAGTATTTCATGGAAAGCATATCATCCACTAACCAGTTGGTTTTCCATTCAATTTCAAACTATTTATAATTCACAATTGATCTAGTAAACTGTTCTGAGGCACATGCAGAATCGATTGTTATCTGAAATATGGTTTAACTTCCATCCTGAATGTACATTCCATCTCTATTTATACGGTAGCTTGTTGAGTAAGTCGAGTTATTTGTGAGAGGATTTTCTTGATGTGAGGTTTTCTCTGATGTAGCTGAGATGACAGTAAGGCTGTCTCCTCTTGAACCTGTAAAATAGTGATTGATAGTGAGAGAGAGAGTGAGAGAAAGAGAGAGATAGAGAGGGATAGAGAGGGAAGGAAGAAAGAAAGGAAGAAGAGAAGGAGGGAGGAAAGGAGTGAGCAAGGGAGCGAGATGAGGGAAGGAAGGAAGAGAGCGAGGGAAGGAGCAAGGGGGGGGGGGGAGAGAATGGGAGAGGAGAGAGATAAAAAGAGGGACTCAAAAAAGAAAGAAAAAAAAATAGGCATATTGTGAAAGAGTGAGGGAGACAAAACATGTATTGAAACATGGCATGAATTTGAAGTCAATAATAACACTTGAGTTCTACACTTCATCTCAAATGTTTCCATGTACATGTTTATCTCAGTTAAAACTAATAGCCTTTGGCCCTTTACTCTTGTGACCCCGAAATGACATCAAACAAATGATCTCTGATCAAGCACAAAAATGTATTTATTTCATAAAACATCCCATGCTATATATCACTTTCTCCAACAAATGCATTACATATAAATGAGTCATCCAAAGTCATAACATTCCCAATTCTCTTTAAAAACTCTGACACAAAATGGACACTACCATTTTTTCTAAAGATATTTATATACAAATGTGTTGTAATGCCAATTAAAAGAAGAAAAGAAAATCCCAATAGTATTCCATATTATCTGATAACCACCCAGCAGCACCAGAAACAGACATGGCAAATTTCCAAGGAGGAGCCTAGTTTGTAATGAGACTAACCTGCGTCAGTTCATCCCCGATAAGTAATGCTGCACTGTCCTCTGTTGATGAAGGTAGGTTCAGCTCCTTCACACAACCTTGCAGCTCAGCCTCTTGGCTCTTTAACCTTCTGTAACATGTTATAACATAGGAAATGTATTTTAATCTTACTTTCTTGTCAGTGGTATGGCTCCAAAGAGAGGGGGAGGGGAGGTGGGGGGAGGGGGGTGAGATAAAAGGAAAATGCTATAAATTAAACTGATTTTACTAAGTGAAATCCAAGCATACGATATCTGTAGTTGGTTTGTTTGTTTGTTTTACCACACAGCTCAGATAGCATGTATGTGCTTGTTTGGAAGCAACCATGGGAACGAAGGCTTTATAACCTCTCCGAGGGACTTGGTTATCAGGATTAATGCCTTACCATGCCTTTTCATATCTTGGTACCCTTGGGATGTATTTTCTTAACCTAAAACTAACCCTGGCAATCACTTACTTGAGTTTGTTTTTCATATCTTGGTACCCTAGGAGGGTATTCTTCAACCTCAAAATAAACTTGGCGAAAACTTACTTGAGTTTGTTTTTCAAATCTTGGTACCCTTGGAGGGTATTCTTCAACCTCTGTATCTCAGCGTAGAGAGCCTCTGGGGACTCTGTTCTGCTCTTGTCCTGTCCTCCCTGCCCTTCATCACCAAACCTCTGGGTCTTCTCAACATCAGAGGGAATGTGTGATGCATTGCTAGGCAACATGATTGCTTTGTCAGATGGAGGTTTTCTTGCACCTTTGACTAGGAAGACAATCAGAAAAGTGCATCTGAATTAGCTTTCTATTGACTGAATGAGAAAGAGGGAGAGAGAGAGAGATTCAACGAACACAAGAGAAAGAGATTGAATCAGATACTGAGAAATAGAGAGATGGAGGAATATAGAGAATAGAGAGAAGGGAGAAGAAAACAAGAGAGAGAGAGAGAGAGAGAGGGAGATAAAGTGAAGCAGATACTGAGAAATAGAGAGACAGAGACAGAGGGAGGAATACAGAGAACATAGAGAAGGGAGAGAAAGAAAGAAAGAAAGAGAGATTGAGAAAGAAATGACCCTAACTCACCTTGAGATGTCCTGGATGCAGTCGGGAGGCCTGAGAAAGCAGATGGTGGAATAAGAACAGGAGGCTTCATATCTATTCTGGATACACTGTCTCCACCCTCTGCCAGTCCACCAATACTAGCGCTGCCTCCAGTCATAGGTAGTCTATTCTCATCCAAAGTGCTGGAAGCAAACTCTGCATCTATTTTCTTCTGATTTCCACTTTCATCACTTCTAGACTGTTTCTCTGATTTTAAGTCAGTAGTTGCCTGTATAGTGGACTGTCCCTCAAATCCTGAGGATCTAGTATTTCCTTCAGTATCTAGTGGCACTCTCTCTGGGATGAATTCTCTTGTTCTGATTGGCTTACTCATATCCGATGGAACATTCCATGTGCTATCTAGGGGTATTTCATTACTTGATGATGGGAGGGATGATGGTATTCTTACTTTCTGTAGAGGAGTACTTTCATGTTCTTCTTCAGAATTATTTCTGTAAATAAAACGTTGGGAAATCAATAAAATACGAGTTTCAAATAACAAAATATTACTTATCTGAATCCATTCATGTCACATATAGAGTTCCATAAAAAAAAAATTAAGACTAAGTTGATCATCAGCATATAAAAGAGAGGATTGTTCATGTATCCTTTCTAAGATCAGTCTTTTGTATCAAAATTAAATCATAGATATGATATGGAAATATATTTATGAAAACAAATCCATAAAAGCGGCAATAAAAATGAAAATCAAAAGCACCAAAATCAGTTACATGTAATTTTCACTCAATTAGAACCCATGATAATAATAATAATAATAATAACTTTTACTTATATAGCACTTTTCATATGACATTTATATCAAAGCGCTTTACAATATTGATACAAGTAAAACTAAAGAGAGTAATGACAAGAGAACAAAAATTAAAGTGAAATTAGCAAACATAAGATAACAAGGTAAGGTAACAATTTAAGATCTACATGTAGGTTGAATATCATTTTCCATTAGGTAGGTTCTTAATTTTGATATAAACAAAGTAATATCAGAGATGCAACAAATAGAGGCTCGAAGAGAATTCCACAAATGTGGAGCAGAGCATGAAAAGGACCTATCACCAAAGTATTTTGTTTTTTGTATTTTTGTATTTTGTTTTTTGTATTTTTGTATTTGTTTTTTGTATAAAGTTTTATCTTTGGGTGGTCAGTGGTGAAAGAGCTTGATCTTCTTACGATTTCACTTGAGGCTTTGACTGCGACCATAGGCCCTCTCTCTGGAGTGAATCTCTCAGGAAGTCTGGCCTTCTGGGCTGAGGGCGCATCTTACCAGTCACAGATCTAACAGTGTGGAAAAAGATAAATGTATACAGTAACTCTTTATTTTTTTCATTAAGCCTCAAAAAAAAAGATGTTGTATTGCCCTTTAGGAGCAAAAACACAGGTCGGTCAGAAATTTTTTTTTCTCTCCCTCCTTGGGCTGATATTTCTCAGTTTTGAATGCTTTAATATTTTTTCTTCTCTAAAAAACGGTAAAAAAAAAAGCCGCCCGTAGATTTCAAGATTTGTGGGTCGGTTGCAAAGGGCAATACAACATATGTTTTTGTTTAGGCCTTAGGAGCAAAACCTATTCATGCTCTCTTACAGTAGGTTCCTATCTTCAAGATTTTCATAAGAATTCATAGAAGGCACAAAGTGGGTGAAATATAAGTTGCAGAAAAAATATATATACTATCATGTATGCAGTAGACTGGAGGAAAGGAAAGGAAAAAAAAAAAAAACTAAAACATATCTATGGGAAGATGGACTCTAAGATGGACTCTAAATCTTACTTGGACGTCACAGAAAACGTTCTCTCCTCTACATCTCGCTCCAACATCCTTTCATCCACAGAGCTACTCATGACTGGCATACCCCTCGATCCTAACGGCTCCAGGAGCATGCTTGACCTTTGGGTTATGAGTGGCAGAGTGACCTCTGACCCTTGACCTCTTGTGGGAGGCTCATCCTCAAATCTGACCTTCCTCTGGGTCGAGTTGCGGTGCCGCTTCTTTCCTCTGTTAGCGATGGTCTTCTGCCTCCAATGAGAAGCACAGCGTTGAACCACTCGGTAGGACTTCAAGGATGTCTATGGTAAATCAGTGACACAGTCAACATTAAGTCGCACCCTCATCACTTTAACTTATAAAGGAGATACTCAAAGATATAACATCAAAAAAAATATATGAAATAGGGTACACGATTCCTTCCACTGGAAGTAACCTGTATGCCAATCATTCCAAAAGAGTCTGTATTGCTTTTTTGTTTACGATGACAAGAATAAAGAAATGATCACCGGTATTTTCTTTGCACATTTAAGTTCAGGAAATATGCTAGATATTAACATGATGCCTTCTATCATAATCATATCTGAATTAGCAAATTGATGAAAACCTTTTTAAAAGTTCAATTCGCAATAATTGGTACATGATAACAATGGAAAGAGAGAGAAAGAGAGAGATTGAGAGTGAATCCAGCAAAATGTCAACCTGAGCATGATGCTTAGCAGCAACTGCAGCTCTTCTCTCCCCTAGGCTACCAGCCACCATCAGCCACTGTCTGACCCCCTCCCTCAGCAGCTCCACCCTCCTTGACTCCAGGGCCTGGGTGATCCGGTCTTTCTTCCTCCGCCGCTCCTTCATGTAGCCGATCCAGGCATGGAGGGTGCGCTGCTGGAGTCTAATGCTCCATAACCATAGCGCCATCACCGTCTTGCCATTCTCTTCCTGGCCTTCGCTAAGCTGCAGCCAAGAGAATGAGACAAAATATTTTGTATTGCTTGATTTAACTGAGAAGGGAAAAAGGGAATCTCAGAAAAGCTAGGCATGTTTAGCGAGATTCCCAGTATAAATTAAGTACTAGACCATCAACAGCATGCATCAAATCCTGCACAATTGTTGCAAGTAATTCCATCATACATTATTTCCATAATTTCTGCTGGAGTCTCATGCTCCATAACCACAGCACCATCACTGTCTTCCCGTTCTCTGCATGGGCTTCGCTAAGCTGCAGCCAGGAGAAAGGTTACGAGGAGGTTGGTATGAGTTAATTTATAAGAAAAGGAAACTAAATTTCAATCATTTAACAAAGTATTTCCATGTAAGTTACACAGTTTATCTGACTATAGTAATGTGCAGCTCACATTTATTCTTGTAAGTAATATCCATCATACATTTTTTGATAAAAAGTCACAAAAATTACTTTTATATACATCAAGGTAAGTAATACAACAACACACCCACGCATATTTCCCGCAATGCTTTTAATTTAACAAAGAACCTACATACAAGTACATGTTTGGCACTGAAAAGAACCTTTATGAATTGGGAAAACAGAGATGCTTTTATTTAATAAAAAGGAGACCATTCCCCCCCCCCCCCCCCCTCTAAACATTAAAGACAATTACCTTTACACAGTAGGCTTGCGGATGCACCATGTGACAGAAAGGGAGGATGTTACATAAAGATAGAAATTTAACAACACACCCACACATTCATTTACCACATTGCTTTCAATTAAACAGAGAACCTACATACAAGTACATGACTGTATGGCACTGAGAAGAACCTTGATGCGACCCTGACAGAGTGACTGCAATGATTCCATTGTTCAGTCCATAAGTAACTTCAGTCAAACCTGTCTATAAAGGCCACTCAAGGAAACAGAACAAGTGGCCACTCAAGGAAACAGAAAAGGTGGCCACTGAACACAGGTGGGCTTTCTAGACAGATTCTACAACACACATTTCTTTCTAGCGAGAGACAAGATGCATGGCCACTATAGACAGGTGGCCTTTATAGAGAGGTGGCCACTGTGGACAGGTTTGACTGTAGCTGATATAGGGACTGTACACATCACTGTATGACTTACCTGATGTTTCCACCTGCTGTAAAACTTTGCTTGCATCCTGATCTTGTTCAACCACAAAGCCTGCCTAGCCATGAGCTGGAAAGTGAAAGTGAATGAAATCAGAATAAGGTAAGAGAGGGGACTGGACATTGGAAATACAATCAATCAAAATGTACAATTACACATTACATTACAATTTCTTTACATAAGAGCAGTTGATATATATATATATATATATATATATATGTAGTTAATGAATACATCAAGCAGTTATGAACAAAACACATCAAAAACGCAAAACAAAAAACAACAAAAAAAGCAACATTGCAACAGAAAACAACAAGCAAACACAAATGAGTATAAACTGGAATGGCAAAGAACTTGAAAGTAATTTTGAATCTGGAAATAAACATACACATTAATGGTATGATGTTTTAGGGTAAATATCATTATTTGATAAAAAGTTAAAAGACTTGTCAAAGAAACAGAAACTGCTTTAAAGATATGCTGTATTTGCATTAACCGATATAACAATACACCCTTTCACGGTTACAAGAGTGGGTATGCACTGACATTGGCGCCATTTTCAATTAGGAGTAAACAAAGTTGTTGACTCGTAGTTTAAAATGGTGCCCATGTCAATATAATGTGAGCACACAGCGCAGGCAGTGATGCAACAATACGTGCACATCTGAAAACATTGATGCAATGTTTACTTGCAAATTAAAATGGGGACCTTAACCATGAAGGGGTGTATGGCCAGTTTAATAACATAATCAAATATTATGCATACTTCTTAAACAAAGGTTATTCTTGACAACCTGAAAGTTTGCTCAAGGCTTGCCTGACATAGCAAAAAGTAATGTATGCAGACTGGATACCAAGTATTGTTCTTCATTCAATAATTACAGGTTAATGTAATAACTCGTCACTATGTCCCCAGGAAATAAATATCCATGAATTTGATTATGTTGGTAAACTTGTTTGAGCTTTAATGAGAAACTTACAGCTTTCTTGATGCAGAGCAGCCTGTATGCTTGCCATTGTTGGAAGCATCTCTGTCTAAGTTTCTTACAATGGAAGACATCTGCTTTCATCTCTCTCCTCCTCTCCTCTGCTTCCGTCTTAGCACAATGCTTCCATGCTAAGAATGCTCTCTCTAATTTACCTGTACATAAAAAAACATCATCATCTTTTAAACCCCTACTGCACTACTTATAGCTACTTGCGCCCTCTAAATAGCAAACAATGCCTCATCGGTGCATGTTGGTACCCCAGGATCCCCTTTTTCTTACGTTAATTGAGTGCTGATTCGATGAGATAACCATCTGTCAGTGACCTTGCAGGGAGGTCAGGTCTAATCTCCCTGCCCAAACTAGTAGACAGGCTTTAAAATGTGTTTCTCCCATGGTGTGGGATGGAGGATTCATGATAAACAAGGACTTCATAAATAACATTTTCTTTAGTATCACACAAATTCATGCAAACTTTCTGATTCCTCAATCACTACATTTGTTGATTACAAAATTCTTTGAGATCAATGATGAAAGGTTATTTGAATGAATAAGAGAATCTGCCCCAAAACGTGCATGGATAATTGACATCTCCAATTACAAAATGCTGCATTTTAATTTTTTCAGCGGAAACACAAACCTTGAAGAAAACATCAAGGCCTGCAAGACATAATTCATGTCGTACATTAGGGTGTAATGTGCTTTTTGAAAGCATGATGTCCGATATGATTTTTTCTTCACAACATTGCAATAACCATGATTTACCTCTGCTAAGTTGAGCTTGAAGTTGTTCTAACCTCCAGACTTTCACAGCAGTATTAGCAGCATGCTGCTGAGCATTGGTGTGCCAAGCTCTTATAATCTGCAAATATCATTTAAGAAAAATAAACCTACACTGAGTTCACAAGTAAAAATAAGAAAATGTATTGAACGTTCCACAAAAACACTGTCTGGTATTTGTAAGAACATTATACATGAAATGGGTTAGGAGCCCCGCATAAAAGAATTTCCGTTCCGGTTTAATAAAATTTGGAGTGGACTATTAGGCTATTATTATTACTATTATTATTATTATTAATATTACAGACAGGTGAGAAAACAGAAAGAGATTAAGCATGAAAGTCCATGCCAAAAAAAAAAACTAGTAGGAAAATAGATGAAATAAAATTGTCAAATATATTCTGATGTTTAACAAATACTCCAAAGAAAGATCATGCATTTCTTCCTGCAAAAATAATCATGTTTATCACATGAATAATCATGTAAACCACATGAATGAGTTAATAATATCATGACTACTATACACATGTCTGAATTTCTGAAGGGAAAAATAAAATTAGAAAAAGGAAAAGAAAGCTGAGAGCAGAAGGAATATGTCCAGCATAAAAAGAGAAGTTTATAGAGCTGGTAAAATGTGGAAAAACAACAATTTTCAACATATAAAGGAAAATTATCATTTTCAAGATTTAAAAACTAATTAGTTTTCTTGTAAATGTACACACTGTAAATTTGCAAGCATTCAGATAACCCGTCTCTAACAATCCTACAGCCCTTTTCTCGGAATGATCTTTCAAATTAATCCTACAAACCTTGCTGAGTATCATTGTATTCCTATGATGGACTGCTATCCTCTCCAATGATCTCTCCTCATTGGCTGTCTCGACACAAACCCTCCAGTCAGAAAATGCATGCCTGCATAGATAAACATGAAATAAATGATGACAATCTTCAATGAAACAAGAGCTAAACATACTTCCTCATAAAAGTGCAAAGCAACTGATGGCATAAAATGAAACTTCTTCCAAGGTTGTGATTTCTTTGTTGTTACTTATGACACAGTGAATATCATACATATTTGTATATATAATGTATATTGTTGCATGGATAATGAATTAAGTACACAATTCTTTCTTTTTTCTTTCTGTAATACATGGTATACATAAAATAATAAAAAAATGAGTAATAATAAGATCAAATTATATAGCGCAAGCTACTCTTTCAATATACTGTACTGCGATGTGATGAAACAAAACTCCTAACAGTGCTACTGTACAGACAAACATTAAAAAAGGGTGATATTCTGTGTTAAATAATTACAATCATCCAGATACAGAAGACAATCCGAAAATCAATAATATCTCTAACACATATTAGCACTCCATATTAACTCTACAATATTTTACATGTAAATGCACATGTTTATTGAACATGATAATGAATGAAATGGATCTACATTACAAGCAATAAACTGTGCATGAGTAAACTTGAATGAGATGGTATTAAGCAAAGTCACTGATTAATCAATACTTATAGTGCTTAGAGATTTTGTTGGAAAGCGCTCTATATAAGCACCTTTTTTTAAATCATTATATTCAATTCATTTATTTTCCATTAAAATTAAAGGTAAACAATACATAACTAATTAACAGCAAAATTGGAAGGACCACAAGATAAGCAAAGCTTGTGAGAATGGGGCCCTGTACAAAAATAAACATACACACATGTACAAGCAAATTATAATATCAAATATTGTAAAACTTATCAAAACAAACATACACCCACCCTCATTTATTCACAGGTACACCAACACACGCCGCAGGCAGAACATTGTACAGAAAAATTATTATTATTATTTATAGTATATTATCATTTATAGTATATTATCATTTTTATCATCATCATCATTATGTATTATTATACTTTATATTCATAGATGGTGGAAGGTACAAATAACATTTCATTCCATTACTTGAGCCTCCTAAGATTAACAGCTGACTCCTTGACTGCTACAACTTTATAGACACCATGCATCTGTTGACAGTGTTGCTGTAATAGAGGGGAAATACAAGACAGCATAAGATTCATTTGCACTACCAGTAGGTAATGATAATAATACTTATCATTTATATTGCACCTTTTGAATCAGGGAACTGATCAAAACGCTGTACAGTGTATAACTGTAAACGTTTTTATTTTCGCAAAATTAATTTTTTGGCGTTGAGCGACCCCAAAACATATTCGCTGGTTCTTAAATTCGCGTTGCACGCAATTCAGCTCGTTCAAAACACGCATAAGAAGTCATGCTTATATTTTTGCAAGTTCTTAAATTTGCGCTTGCAGGTCTTGGGGCGAAATCCGCGAAAATGAATGTACCGTAAATATTTGTACTTTTACAGTATCCTGTGCAATAGCTGTCAATTCATTGAAAAATAATTGCAGGGAGGAGAAATGTTTTCATGCTGGTATTCATAGATTCTATGAAGAAAAAAACATACAATTTTCAATGATATTTTATCACAGTATTAAATCTGATTCAAGAAGTTGGTATTTGTTTTCAATATTTCAAGTTCAAAGTGTTGTGTGAACAAACAAGTAGGAGTTGATGCAGCAGCTACATGTAATGTTGAGTAATGATACAATCATTGCATCATAATCATATCAGACCCCAAACATACAGTAGTATCAATGTTTGAAACAAACTAGAAACAACAATAGGGCTCATTTCAATGCTCCTAACTAGATGACCAGTACTGACACATTATGTAGCCCTTGTGATCATGACAAATAATACACCTTTATGATCCACGAGACTTCACTGTATGTGCGACCCCCATGACCCTTTGTGATCCCTATGGCCCTCTTTGACCCTCTTTGTTCCTCACCTTCCACGCAGTAAAGACCTTTCTCATCTGTTTTCTGTGATGATACAGGTCAGCTCTGCTCTTCTTTACTGCCTTGCATCTACGATGTGAAACATACTGATAAAGGGAAGGAAAAAGAGAAAAACACAACAAAAATGCAAAGAATAGTTGCGAATATGCGTCAAAAACCACAAACAGTATGCAAGGAACTAAAAGAAAGCAAGAAGTCATTGGAAATATAATAAATTATTTTTTCAGGGAAACTGAATATCTAAATTGGCCATACCTTCATGAAGATCGATTAGTAACCTGCCCCAGATAGCAAAATACATATTTTGGTTTAACTATTTTTTATTGCAGATTAACTTACATGTATCATTTTACACAATAAATGTTCATACACCCAAAACTTAAAACTGGCCAAGATGTAATAATTTTTTCCTGAATAAGACATCTTAATCACACACAGAAAAAAACTAAGCTTTTGTGAGTGAAACATATTGTAAAGTTAGAATTCACTCCTTATGAGATGCACTATGTATGACCTTAAATTACTGTTGAACCAAGCACTAAACAAGATCTTTTTAATACCTCTCTCCATTTGTCCCATGTCCTTCTGGCTCTTTGTCTATAATCATGCTGGGCAGCTATCCTCTCAAATTCACTCCTGAAAAGGCAACAGCAACCAAATTTAAGCAATTTGAAGTCTATTTATAAACAAGGAAATTTCATAAAGAAAACACTTTATGAAATGAAAATGTCATTATTGTGTAACAAAAGAGATGTTAAATTGTCACATATCGTAGAAAGAAACGTCATATCAAAACATCATAAAAGTACTGGTAATCTAATTTGGGAGCAGAGTGCTTGGTTCCGTAGAATTCTCATACTATAACATTTTCACACAAGTAGATCATAACTTTTCATTGAGTTCTCAAACTGTGGAATCCTTATTCTTGTATTAAAGTTTGTTTTGTTACATAAAATTAAATAACACACAATAAATTGTTGACCCATTTTTGCACAAAATGTTATACAGCAATTGGATGTTTTCCTTCAGGGTTTCTTGTAAATACAGAATACACAGCATTATCAGGTACACATCATAATTCTTGAATTTATAAACAGAATTATATGGCACATAAAATTGACTTATTCAAAATAACATCATACCTCTGTCTGGCTTCTCCAGTGAATTCAATCCACCTGCTGAGAGCTTTAGTACACAGGGATAGGTGATGATGGTCCATGGCTCGATACTACACAGAACAGATAAAATACAGTATGATGATAAAAAAAACCTTTAGTTATGACCATGGTGAATACAGTTTTTCAGCACACATTACCTAATTAAAAATCTCTGAAAACAAAGCATATTGCATAGACACAATTGTGCATAGGTCTACATTTATGAGTAAATATAAGCGCTGTAATTACACTTCGTGGTAAAAATTTGATTTTAAAATGTAAAAGTACTTGGGTAAATACAGGTACTCATGTTTAACTAGGACCATGTGAAATTAAATTTAATTTTCTCTTATTTCTGTAACTCTTGACTCATCTTTATGAAGTGGATTTCAAATGAGTGTTATCATAGAAGATGTCTTCATGTCACAATTAAACTGGAATATGATGCCATTACTGTGCATGGCCTTTCACAAGAGTATTTGCTACAGTACTTAAGAAGATAGGAGCTAAGCATTTATTGGTAGAGTGATTAGTAGTGCATGGATTCATACCATCTTTTCTGACTCCTTCAGTTTAGACCTTGTCCTCTCCCTCCATTCTGTGAAGAACCTCTTACTCAGTATGCTCTCATGGTGTAGGAAAGCCTGTAGAGTGAAGTCAATTAAACCATAATATGTCATCCAATAAAGTACAGGTGAGGAATCTTTTAGCACAAAGAATATCAGAAAGAATATGATTTGTTGTCCTTTTCAAGGGGGCCAAGTCACACCACCTCAAAAATATTCAATTCAATTTATTTCCACTTTAAAAACAATTTACAAATCAATAACATATATATGAATAATAGTGGCGGGTCTTGAAAAGCATGTCTTGGCTAATTGAAAATGACCCCTTAACAAGTACAGGTGTATACACGTATATATATGTTTTTGTGTTAGCCATCTTGTGATACAAAGTTTTGGAGAAATCGAAGGACATTTAACAGTCCCAATACCTTTTCTTTTATAGCAATACCATTTATTTCTAGGTAATGACCAACATGAAATTATGAGGTTATATACTTTTAATAATGTAAATTTCTCATTAAGCTGCTCATTTTGAGCCCGTTTCCAATATCTGTACCCAACAAAAAGAAAAAGAAACAGGATAATTCATCAATTGATGTCATTCTTCCTTCTTACCATTCTCTCCATCATCCTGATGTCTTGACTCAACTGAAAGGAATGACACCAACGATAGAAGCACCTTCCCAGCTGACCTTCCCTGTAATACACACCATTCAATGATAAAGGTTATCTCACAGATTTTGACATTGAATATTACAGTTAAACCTTGTTCAGGTGTGCAGTGGTAAACCATGGTGATTTTTTTTTAATGTGAATGACGACGTAAAGTTGATACGCTTCACATTTCTGTATCTTAAATCACTGAGCTAACGCATAGGACCTTTGTTGTGCACAGTTGCCATTCATTTAAACCAGTTATTTAAAAAAATCTTACGAGGTTTACTGCGTCATATCTGAATGAGCTAAGAGCATGCATGGTGAGCAACTTAACATTTTTTACCACAATAACAACAATAGTATTATATATTTTTTATCTCAAAAATACATCATTAATATCAGAACATGTCAACAAATACTGGTATATCATTATGATAGGAATATAATCAATTAAACATGTACCTATTCTTAAAATCATTACAGAATGTCACCTTTTCTTTTTGGATTTTGTATCACTTTATTATCAATCTTCAATAAAGGAACATAGTATAAACATAAAAGAATTGCACAGTCACAGACATATAATAAGAGTAGTTCAGGTCATGGCTCATAACTGCCAAAGCAGGGCATACAATACAAAACATATAAGACATAAAGATGTTATAAAACATGATTGCTGAGATCTTTAACAGTAGTTGTGTTCATGCCAAATTGTTTCGTTTCAGATTAAGAAAAATACACAATTTATAATTCACTTTTCTCAATTAATGTATAAAAATGCTTAAACATTTTGGAGGAATAGAGGGCTCACGTGATGCAACAAAATATAACATGTTCAGTGGCATGCATTCAGCCCACAGTTGAACCACGATAGCCCTCTTTATAACTTGGAAGCACTATTGTTTTTGTTATTATTAAAATTATTATTAGCTTTATTATTATCATTGTTATTATAATTATTATTATTATTATCATCATTATCATCGTCATTTTAAAGGTATTACAAAGTTTTGGTATGGGGGCATGAATTACGTTCAAATGAACATATTAGGAGCATATATGCGATCCTACAATATTCAGTGATCGTTGTCGCGGTTGAAATCGAGTCTTAAGTTATCAAATTGTAAGTAAACTCTTCATGTTGTATAGCGCCCTCTCAAGGTCAAGATATCAATTAAGCTATAAAACAATGTTTCTTGACTAAATTGACCGATTTGCTATTTCCGTTTGGAAATTATATATGACAACTATATATTCTGAGATTTTCATGGTCGCAGCTATCATCGTACGGCCGTAGGCGCTATATAAAATTCATGAAAATTTACCGGGAGCACCGGTAAATTTTTGTATTCAATTTTTCTTGAAAGCAGAAGTGTTTTAGGGTCTAAAATTTCTAGTGCTTATAATACACCTACAGGGGCATCCAAAATATCAAAGTTGTAAAGAATCACTATCCACCCAATTTTCAAAATTTCCCAAAACTTTGTAATACCTTTAATTATCATTATCATTATGTTTATTTTTTATTATTATCATCATCATCATTATTGTCATTATTATTATTACTATTATTATTATTATTCATTATTATTCATTATTATCAGTATTATTATTATCATTATTATCGCTATCATTATCATTATCATTATCATTATCATTATTATTATTGTTATAATTTAGTATCCAGTTATTACATATTATTACAGTCTTGCCATGAGGGTTCGCCCTTTGCGCAATAAATTGCAAAGGACGACACAAGGGCCATTTCACTGAGTTTGTCCCGAAATTGCTTTGTGTTCCGTTTATGCAATATTGCATGTCATTCTAGCAGAATGTATTACTGTACATGGTGGAAATAATTGAAATAAGTGAAACAAAGTTGAGACCATTAATGAAACATTAATGAAATAGATTAAAAATATACCCCCCCCCCAACCTTGAAACGAACTTTCAAAATCACTGTTAGAATAACAAAAGCAAAAGCATTATTATTATTACTATCATTATTATTATTCATTATTATTCATTATTATTGCTATCATTATCATTATCATTATCATTATCGTTATCATTATTATTATTATTATCATTTAGTATCCAGTTATTACATATTATTACAGTCTTGCCATGAGGGTTCGCCCTTTGCACAATAAATTGCAAAGGACGACACAAGGGCCATTTCACTGAGTTTGTCCCGAAATTGCTTTGTGTTCCGTTTATGCAATATTGCATGTCATTCTAGCAGAATGTATTACTGTACATGGTGGAAATAATTGAAATAAGTGAAACAAAGTTGAGACCATTAATGAAACATTAATGAAATAGATTAAAAATATACCCCCCCCCCCCCCAACCTGGAAACGAACTTTCAAAATCACTGTTAGAATAACAAAAGCAAAAATAAAAAGATTGTATATTTTGTCAATGGGTTTAGCTACCATGAAAAAAATAATGTAAAAAGGTGGATCTGAAAAAAAAATGCAATTTATAAACTGACCTGTAGAATTCAGCTGCTTGTGCTTGGAGTGCGCTCTTCCTCTTCTCCAGCTCAGCATTGTGTCTCAGTCTCTGGATGCATTTAGGGAGCAAATTTCTTCTGGCATAATAATCATCTGCCCTCGCATATTGCTCCTGTATATAAAAAAAGATCCCAACAGCATTTAGTGTGTGGAATACATACAGACTCAAATTTTCAAAGGATGATTTATTACCTACAATTTTTCTCTGCAGTAAAGTACTCTTTATTATTGGTCCTCTCCTGGCACTTGTGCATTGGCAGCTTCTTTATTTGCCCTATACAATACATCTGGGTCATGTTGATGCATAGTGAAACATGTGCAGTTTTGTTTTTGAGAAGGTAATATATTAAAGTCTACATCTAAAAGTATTCAACAAATGGCATGACTCAACCAGTCCACCTTTCATTATTGAGCTACGTAAAAACACAACAAAATCAAATTGACCTCAAATTTAATTAAGTTGTTGACTGAATATTTCAAGTGAGGTCCTGAATCTGACTAAACTATATCGTCGGCCGGGTGGCAGAAGGGCATAAGCGCGCGAGCAACTCGAAAACTAATTTTCTAATTATTCTTATTTAAAGATTTGTTTTATATTTAAACTGCTTTCCGTCCCAAAAATTGGTTTAAAACATAAAAGACTAATAGAAATGTTGTAGTAGAACACGGCCACAATTTTTTTCTCAGAAATAAGTCAGTTTTATAAAAGTTTGAGGTGATTTAGTGTTAACGCCCTTCTGCTTTAAGTTTCATTATTGACCTGAAATTCGAGCTAACACCCTTCTGCCAGCCAGGCGACGATATATTGTGAGTACCCTCCAATTTATGAAATGAAAATCCAACAAAAAATATATATTTATCTGGTCAAGCATGGAAATTGCAGTCCCCTTCCATTCCTATGTTAATTTTCAGAAGTCTAAGATATAAGTGGTGCTTGAATACTACAGAAAACTAATGAATGACATTAACTCATTCACTATTGAATTCTCTCATTTCTCTCGGCTTAAAAACGAAGCCACCCAGTTATGGATGCAATGAGCAAAAATAATTATATACGGCAAACATGCATATTTTACCTTGCGATGCCTTCTCCACACTGTGTAATTGCACCATTGATGGACCACTGAGTTGAGAAGGCGTTTCCTGAAGAAAAAATTAAAAATATTTGGGTATAAATTTTAATGCATATTTTGCTAGGGACTGTATCAGCAAGGATAGTCGGTCAATGGGTAAATCATATCAATATATAAAATAGAGACGAAACTAAAAGCATTTCATTCTTTATTTATTCCTATATTTTCATTTTCAGTACATACTAAGGAGATTACATGACGGAGATTGAGGAAGATGGTGAAAAAAATGGTGAAGAAAATGAAAATGAAATAAAAAGAAATTACAAGTATATTTCATTATACAGAGGTAAAATAAACCTTTTGATCAGATAGGGCAGTTTTGTCAATAGTTGATCATCCATAAGGACCAATTAGTTCACTGATGGTGCATTCTTATTTCTCACCACTACAATTTGTTGTCCTCCATGCTGTATGCATGAGAAGAAGATGTAGGATTTAAAGCAGGGGAGGTACGAAGGGTATAAAGGTCAGAAAGAAATGGGAGGAAGAGAATCAGAAAAAGGAGGAATACAGTGCTGTCTCATGGTAGAAGTTTGAAATTTACATGTCAGTTTTGTTATTACTATAATTGTTATTATCATTATTGTTGTATTTTCTTTGTATCCTCAAAGTATAAATTGCTTATGTTGTATAATGTATGTCACTCGGCAGTGGAGGACAAATTTCTGTATTTCTAAATCAGACAATAAATTATCTTGAATCTTGAAGAGAAAAATGAGGACGAGAAGATAAGTGTTTCTTACCTGTGCATTTTTCTTGCTTTCCTTGTAGCTGAGAAGAGTCTAAGCTCCTCTCTGTGTTCACACTGTAAGATCCACTGATTCCAACAACGTTTCACCAACTACGAGATAGTGATATCACAATATATTACTTATTTTCTCCTTTATTTTCCATTAATGAGTGAAGTGGATGTTACATCTGAAGCTAAGTTTCATTACACATCAACAGGCACCTTAGAAACCAAAGTAATGCAATAATTTCTTTTAATGTTTTTGATTTTTAAATTTTACAGGGTACATCACTTGGCAACCCATTATAACAACAATTCTTCAACAAATATCAGATCTATCTAATTCTTTTCCTGAAGATGACTTTCAAACTGATGCAATGGTCTCTGGAATAAGGATTGTTAACTGTTAACTCATATAAAATCTGAAATATATGAGAAATTCCTAACCCAAGACTTTGCCAGTCATGAAATTTGACAAACCAATATATTGTGTGAAAATGAAGTTCATAAATATGACTGCCCTAACATATTCAAATACTTGTTATTTGTTGTATTCTTTGTGACTGCAAATCAGAAGCACAAAAAACATTATGTGAATACAATGGCTGTATTAGGCTCATTGCAAATCACTCTCACACATAAGTTTTTAATCAATTAAGGAATTGAATTGAGTTATAACCTTACCATCTGTTGATGTAGCTCTATAGCTTGCTCTGTTCTTCTCCCTTTCACCTTTCTCTGTGCCACAGCAAGCCTCAACATCAGTACGCCTAGTTTCTATAGAAATGTAAGAAAACAAATAAATACAAATACACATTCTATAATGCTCATTTTGTTTAGCTCCTTGCAAAAATCTCATTACATTTTAATCAATTAGAACCAGTCAAAAACATAACTCAATTCAATGTTATCCAAAATTACCCAGCAAAAAATCTTATCCATGAACTTCTCAATCATAAAGTTCTTAATTTTTGTGCAATAATTTACTGTTTAGGACAATATTTTTTCATACAGATTTTTTGTGTGGATGACAGGGACAAAATATATTTTGCAAATTGTTGTTTTCAAAATAATGAAAACACAGGCTACTTACAATACCTGTTATACCAGCCCATTTTCGCATGTGGCTAAATTCATAACCCTAAAACGATTCACAATTATAAACTCTCTCGCAAAAACAAACAAAAAGGTTTTTTGGATGTCAAGCAATCAAGTCCTGTGATGTACCTTGAGCTGTGTGTTGTGATGTGTCCTTGCTATGTATTCTTTACTCCTGTCAACATGAACTAGATGAATATCTATGAATGTTAATTAAGGAATCATAAGCGTAAGACATAAAACCGTTTGAATGGTGAATGGAATAGTATATGAATGCACATGTAAATAGTACATCTATGAACTCAGGTAGAAGAAAAAAAAACTCTAAATATGTGCAACAAAAAATGTGCAACAATGAACCACTATGATATTTGGAAATACTAAGATATCAAAAGAAACAGAGAAAGTAGTATCAACTCCACCCAAGGGACAAAACTGGAGAACTTTGTCTGAGAGGAGGCGAGTTGGCTCAGTCGGTAAAGCGTCCGTCTGTCGAACCAAAGATCCCGGGTTCGACTATCACCCAGGCGGATGACTGAAGCCTGCGTTATACAAATAACGCACGTCCCAGAGTGCAATAGCGGTGAATGCAGTACGCGCGAGGTTTCTTTAGATTGGTGCCGCACTGTGCAACGAGCCGCTTGCGGCGAGTTGACAGTGCGAACCATCTGAAGAAACCGAGCGTTTACTGCATTTACGTTTTGCACAACAGGGTCAAGTGCGTTATTTGTTTTATAAAATAGCGACACAAATAGCAAAAACGAAACTTTAGATCTAGACTAATAAGTTAGAGTCTACGAGAGTTCGATCTAGATCTAGATCTAGAGTTATGTTGGTTCTACTTCTAATTAGACTAAGACCTTGCAGGCTTACCAAAAAGTCAATGGGATTCATTGCCTTGATTAAAAATAAAATCCATACAGTGGGTCTAGAGACGAGTCTACATCAGACAGCTGAAATTCCTGGCTTCATTATAAAATCCAAAAGTCAAAACAGGCCTAAATCCAAGGCAAAAGTAAAATAAAAATTTGCTTTTTAATAATACCCCGCTGGCCGCTCTAGCTAGCTAGTTACGCGTACGTTGCGCTGGGGATCATGGTGGAGCGTACAATATTAGCTACGCGTAGCCTACAATAATTGCAATGCAACTCGAGGGAGCGCGTACTACACGTACGCGCGCGCACTGGATCTCCATGGTCACGCGTACGCACCGTGCAATATAACTTTTTACTGCGCTTTTTCTGCACTCATTTCTGCAAAATCGTGCTTGCATCAAAATTTTTTCAATGTCATGTGACGCGTATTGACCAATCACGATGCTTAAAATACTAGAGCCATTTTATAATGTGTGTTAATGTGCCCCTTCCCTTATTTATAAACGCAGGTTATGTCAAGTGGAAAACACTCTGGTCCCTTGGATAGGACATTAAATAGAGGCCTGTGTAGAGAAGAGTGACTAACTTTGCATGTTAAGAACCCACTGCACTATTTGTATAAGAGTAGGGGGAAACCCCGGTGTAGTGGTTCACCTGCACACAACCCCAGTATAGTATGATAATATACTCTGTAAAGAGGTCTGTACTCAAAAGGAAGAAGGAAGGAAAACATTGCACTGTTCACAAAAGATGGCACTGATCTTGCCAGAGAAACAACAACCAGACCTCAAAGCTCACAATACCAAGCCCAACCTGACAGGCAAGGTCAAGAATGCAGGTCACAACCCAGCGGCTGTAAGTAACACGCCCCTTTTGAAGAATGTAAACCCGACATAGCATCACACAGTGAGAGGCCTCATAATAGCTAACAGGATGATGCGGATATGACTACCATCATCTTTAAAATATTTCAAGCAGTCAAAAACGGCAGTGACAGAAACTAACATGGAGATAAATCTGAAAGAAGATCAAGTCGCAAGTGATTTTGTCTGTTTCAAAACAGAATTGGCAGCTACAAAACGGCTTGTGGCAGAGTTAAAAACTGCCGCTTTGGTCAGATGTAATTTGTAAAGTGTTTTATAAGATAAAGCCTTAATTATCAGATAAAGGATACAGAATCTCCAGTGGGTAAGAACCCTCCTCATCCTGGATCTATTTCCAAGATGGTCCACCTGTTCCTGGCGCTGTGCCAGGGATCGACGCGTAAACCACCTCTGGTTCCAGTGCTGCCAGGCATGGGTCAAGAGTCTGTCTGAATACACCTCGCAAGCTTGTGCTACAACAGAAATTAAAATGAAAACATGGAAGGTGAGGTCAAAGTTCGTTATAGGGATAGAAAATACATGAAAAAAAACAGAGCACCTCACATCCTAGGCCTGTATTCACAATCAAACCATGCATCAATGATATTGACATAGTACAAACAAATAATCTCTACATAAGACTTTGCAAGTATATGACATACATTGTAAAACAACTCTCTGGCCCGAATTCACAAAGGAGGTTTGTCGACAAACCTCCTTTGTGAATTCGGGCCTCTGTGTCTAGTCAAAACACCCAAAACATGTCCCCCCCCCCCCCAAACAAACAAACGAGAGAAAACAAAAACAGAGCATCATTCTATAACCACATGTCACAAATATATGCTTTTACAATGATTAATCTATCGTGACAATAGAGGTACAGTTAGAAACTGTAATCTCAAACTTCAACATTATGAAGACAAATCTCACCATTGATCCTTTTTTTCTTCTTCCTGTGATGAGTGTACGTTAGAAAGCCTTGGTAGTAACACCGGGATACCAGTTTCTTCTCATGATGGTGCTCAGCAAGCCTCTCATTCTTCTTCATCTCCTGCCTCTCAGTCCATCTTCTCTTCCATGCATTCCATGCCTGAGGGAAACATTGATAATCAATTATTCAAATAATCCTTTGAGTAAAAAAAAATAATATATATATATATATATATATATATATATATATATATATATATATATATATATACAAAAGTCATCTGTTTTCCATGGAGCAATGTGTAACCATGTTTTGGGGTGTCAATTTTGTGTACAGCTTTGTGACTGAAATGCAACTAACAAGTGTCTTGAGGAAGAAAATCTATAAGCATCATATGCAAGATATGCAGCAGTTGCTGAGTTGGTATATGGAAGAGCTCCTGAACCTTCACGAAAAATATGATAGAGTTGAATATCCGGATTGACTGGCATTTCAATACGAATGTTTATCTTGAAATATGCAATTTGTCAGCTCCGGAAAGACTGGATACATGAAAGTGATAATGCTTATTCAATTTATGTAGTTTAAAGTCTTACATTGATATACTTTCAGTGACAAAGTATAAAGGGCTCTTTTACAGTAACATGTAGTATACTGTACATGTGACTAAAATGTATGCCCATCCAGGACTATCCCTATTTATATATTTCAATAAATCCTACATATATTTCCTTGTCTTGATATATTGGTACATCTCAATTTCACAACTCACCCTCTGTGTGACACTCTCTGCCCAGTACTGCAAAGCAAACACCTCGGCTTCTCCCTCCTCTCTACGCTGGTACATAGCAGCTTTCCATTCATTCCAACACAACTGAAGAGCGCGTGCCTGGTGAAACTTCTTGGCTCTTTGCTTTAATATTGCCTTTGCTCTTCTCTGTGTTACATACTGCTTCCATGCCGTTAGAGCCTTGTTAAGCAGTAAATTTGAGGCTGTTGTGTTCAGTATAAGCAAAATAGACAGATCTTACTGTTAATCTAAGGTAACAGATGGAATTAGGAGATACATGTACATTCTTCAAAATTAGATTTTCTCTTAAGTGCACAATATTATAATATAAGTTACTCCCACAGATATATGTAATGAGCAAACTTGAAACATGATTTAGTTTGTCCTATTCTTTCTTTGTATGCTTTTATGGGGGGATGTGGGATTCTGTTTATAAGATGGAAAATGTCAGTTATCCAAACTTTTGGTCTTCTCAGATCTAAAGAGGAAAGAAAAACCCTGCAATTGGGTGAGTAAAATAGATGTAACTTATGCAGTATGGTCAATTATTTATAAAGGGGAAAATATTCAAAGACTTATACAACATAGATGTATGATATAGCGCATAACAGAGAGACAGAGACAGAGAGATGGGGAGGGGGAAAAAGAAACAGAAATAGAGAGATGGAAAGAGAAGAAAATCTATATATTACCATGGGTAGTTGAGATTTCTTTCTTGGCATTCTTCACTTTCTCTCTAACAACAAAATTTCTCCAGGACATCCACACATGCTGGTAAATCTTGTATCTAATACACAAGAAAGAAGTATCAAAACAGTTCATCCAACATACTGTATGAGGAATGTTCAATCAAATCAAGTTTACCTGTAAAACACATTAGTTGCAGAAAAGGGAAGATTACTGTACGTGCACAAACTTCAAGTTTATTTGTATCATCATCTACACATATCAACATTTACCTTTTTGACACCCATGACAATTTCAATAAATAACGTGAACTGCAAGTAGGCCACTCTATTTCATTCAATAATTATTGCATCACTATGCATTGTACTTGGATATGTGGATGCCTTCCTTCAAGAGTACACCCATCTTTAAGCTTTTGTATTTCACTGTTACACATACTGCTTGGTATAGTTGCATAATATGGAGTGTTATGGTATGGTTAGAAATCCTACTCCTTTTTGTGATCCCTTTCAACAAACAGAATTTTTCTCTCACCTGTGATGATACTCTGCTCTTATCATTAGTGTCCATTCTCGGCGTTGCGTCCACCAGAACTCTCTCCACTCATCAAACATCTTCCGCAGCAACCGAGAATTGTAATGCTCCCTAAATAATAATAATGATTACCATTAAGGTAAATGTTTTTGTATAGCACATAACACATCTAGGCATAATTACATGTCTCTATGTGCTTTACAGAACAGAATACAGGAGTGGAAATGGTGCACTGGGTTCATAATTGCAAGATCATACTAAGTGCTAAAACAGCTATGTTTTTCAAATTACTTTATGTTTACATGTATATATTTCTAAGGTATTCTGGCAGGTCATTCCAGAAAAAAACAGTGACTGCACATGAAAATTACCTTTCCCCTAAAGAAATTGTCACTGTTTAAATAAAGGAGATAAACATAATTTGTCAATTGCCCACAAGAAAGCTGTAACCCCATAAATTCACCTTTCCCACAAAATTACTGTCTCAGGTGTGTATGCGGGCTTCATTGCTGTGTATATTTGCTGGTGTGTGAGCAGGCGCACGCCTTGCAACAATGAATTGAGAATAGTGAAGGAAATGGACTACGGATCCACAAATTACAAGACCACTGTTCTACCAATGAGCTATTACAGTACACCACAAATTGTCCAAGTCTGATTGTAAATAGGTTTTGTACCATAGGTGATACCACCACATTTCACAAATTCTTGCTTGTTTCAAGGCATGAAATATGGGATACCTTTCTCAAAAATAAACCCAATAAAAAGGGTAAAATCAAGTCAGTCGTCCTCTCAACCAATACTGATTTTATCTTTTCTTACACAGCCTTAAATGAAATATGATTTAAATGTTTCCAATATTTGTATGATATACATGTACAGTACCTCTTAAGTATCAAGGCAATGTTCTGAGATTCATACCGGTATGTGTCTTAAGCATATGTTCATGTATGTCCTATCTGTGAAATTTAAACGTTAGCAGTGTCCTCATATTCAAATTATGCAAGGAAACCCGTTTACTTGCTAGACTTCACTGTCAGACACTATTGAGTGACTGACTGGCTTTTTTTCTTCTTTGGTAATAACATACACAAAAAGAGTTGTAAAGGGTACATGAGCATTTGTCTACATCAATAACCCAACTCTTGTGATGGCCAAGATTAAACTGATTGAATCTTTGCGCAGCATAAAACGTATGACCATTCGGTACAATTGTCTGAAAATCAAGACTATTACTTTTGGGCTCTATAGCCCTAAAGTCGATTTGACAACTTATAGTCATTTTTTTCCCACTTGAAGACATTTTCAAGCCCCATCTTTTTTAGGGAAGTTCTAAATAAGTATTACCTTTCAAATGCAGTTGGAATTTAACTTTTTCATTTTTTTGGCCTGCAAATGGGACATAGTACCTTTAAATTGGACAATTATTTGAATGTTCTCAAATTTGTGTATGCATTGTTCTGGATAAGCGTCTCCTACAGTTTGTTCATTGCATTTGATAAAGAGCTCTCTGTTCGACCCACCTAATCACAGAAGGCCTGATACCAGTGCAAGCATTACTCCTCCACAGCTTGAAATACTTCCTTGCTAGAAACCTGAAAGTAAACATTACACAAATGAATTCAATGATGGCAGTAATTTGTTATATTAATACTTGTCGTCATGTAATGCACATTATAGATGATATATCATCTGTTAGAAGCCAGAAGAGCATGTTCTCGTATAATTTTACAAAGTGTTAATGCCTGTCTCGCGTTAAATAATGGTGTACAGCACCTACACTGTAGAGCTTGGGTTATCATTCATAATTCAATGTTTAAAAATCCTTGACTAAAGCTAAGAGGCTTCATTGTAGGCAATGAACCTTACATCATTGAGAACACCAATTTTTTTATCTTATCTGGTAGACATCAAATAACAAATTTCTTGCCCTTTGGAATAAATTTGTTAAGAACTTCAATGATGACCCATCCACTAAATTTGAATAGAAATTAGCAGACTATCCCAAACATACATGTTTCAGACACAACTAAATAGTACATACTTGTACCTGTAACTGATCAAAAAGTGATATACAGGTAAGATAAAGAGGATTGTTTATTATTTAATGGTTCACTAATATTGGCACCAGGGTAGCGATTCATCATGAAACCGTTAAGTTTGCCGACATCCCATTCCTGGATACTAAAGGTTCATTTAAATCATAAGATAATAAGTTAAAGATCTCAAACAAATGGATAAATTCTCAACACATCACAACATGAAGTACATGTACCTGATTCTAAGTTCATTCAGTCTTCCTCTTTGTCCCCATGTATACTCGTAGGTCACTGGAACAGCTTTCTCTCCATGCCTACCGTCACCATCCCCTCCTCTTCTTACATTTGGTCTGGTCCTGCCTCTACCAGCCTGACCCTGAACACCATTGACCTGGTGACCCCTTAACCTTTGGCTAGGGTCAGGATGAACTGGAATAGGGATTCGGGACTGTGCCCTTGGCTCTAGGTGTGCCTCATGAAAAGTTACATGTTTTGTTTGATATCCAAAGGGGGCTCGAGTCATGGGCTCCCTTCCAGCAGCTCCTCCTCTGAGACGTTCGTCACCATCGTAACGAGTGTCGGAGGAACCTTTCTGGTGAAGACGTATCCTCTCTGCTCGGAGCTGCATCGATGAGTGGAGTTCATGGAGAATGGCCTGCTTGGCTGCAGCATTGGTCTGATGGTGCAGATCACTCAGAGAGTACTGGTCAGCTTTACGATGGGCTTCGGCCAGAGACAGGTTGGGTAGTTTCGTCTTGGAGTTACGCTTCTGGGCCATTTTGAATGCCCACTACACCTTTCTGAAAGAAATTTAATTGTAGAATATTCATTGTATTTGTAACTAGGGTCTAATAATCACAAATAAAAGTGATGAGGGTAAAAACAAGAACCCTGTGCATGTGCCTTTACTGCCTTACAGTTACAACACTAAACTAATCGCTATTATCATAAAGTTAGTATCAAGTTGGCAACACGAAAACAGCTATTTTGATGTAGATCTAGGTCTAGACTAGACTACACTGCTTAATCTAGTATTTGCATTCCCAGCAGAACCAACATCGCGAGAGGTCAGCGTTTTTGTTTTGCAAATCGCAGGTTAGTTGTTACTAGTTGTTAGCCCATTATCATCAGGAACATGTAGAACTAGTACTAGTAGCTTGCAAGGTTTGTCTCGATTCTGGTGCTTTTAAGCTATTAACAGTTAAGCTCGTTGGCCTTTTTGCCCTGTTGGATAGATGCTGGAACTGGGCAGCCCGCCCTACAACCGCTCATGGCCCAGGCCAGGCCAGGCCAGGCGGACAGGGGCGGCACGGCCACAGAGTCAGAGGTGCCAAGTGTTTACGTTTTGGACGGGGACGACAGTTGTTCGTTTCTTAGTTAGACCGCTGTAATCACAATATAATATTATCCCAAATTAAATACAGTGCTTAAATACTACCTACTAACTTGTATCAATTCAACACATCATTCTCTAATAAATTACCACCTTATATAAAGTAAAAGAAAGATATTTGCACAATTATTTATACTTACCGCGGTATATTATCCGAGCGGCGAAATTAATGTTGCCAATATTATTGGCATTGTATAAACGCCATCTACGGCTGTACATACGCACGTTCGGGTTGTGGATTTTTTTTTTGGGGGGGGGGGGGGGGTTGATTGATTGATTGATTGATTGATTTTTATTCGACAAGCTTCCAACATACAACAATATACAATAATAACAGATCAAAAAAAAGTCAGCTTGAACAGGATAACCCACGAAAGCTCGAGAGCTTATTTCCAGTGGGGTCCCTTACAGACATGTATAAAATTAATAAGTTAAAATAGTAATATTTACAGACAGATAAGAAAATTAAAAGAACTACTTATTAAAGATAATAATAATAATAACAACATTAAACTGATGATAGAAATGATATTAAATACAAGAAGAAAAAGAAGAAGGAGAAGAAGAAAAAGAGGAGAAGGAAGAAGAGGAAAATAATGATGAATTTGTAGAATTTCTATAACGTACGAAAACATAAGTATATACAACATGAAAAAGTATGAACCGACAGAAGAATAAAAAATTCAATCATATAACATGTCATTCACTTCTCTTCTCTGACTGTCAAGTATTAGGTATTCCTTTAATTTCCTCTTAAAATGATCATAGTTTCCTTTTTCTTTTACACCATTGGGAAGGGAATTCCAATGTTTTATGGCATTGTAATAAAACGAATTTCCAATACTACCTACTCTTTCAGGTAAGTTAAAGTTGAATCGTCTATTTCTTGTATTATAATCATGTACGTTAGTAACAAGATCGAAGTTGGATCGAATATAATGATTCGACCTAGTATGATATATTTTATGCACATGATGCAATACGAGTTGTTTTGATCTTTGGTCGACTTCAAGAAAACCAGCTTTAGAAAGTTCGCTGTAGCCAACATGAGTTCTTGGACCAGAACAGTTGATAAATCTCACCATTTTGTTCTGTATAATCTTCAACTTCTTTTGATCTGACTTGTACCGAATTGTAACACTACACTACACTACACTATATCCATGTTTTATTAGAGTTCAGCGAGGGAGGGGGGGGGGGCATATTCCGGACCATTTCAATTATAATGTTGAAAAAATAGACGAGTCTTTTATTATTTCCGTGGGATTTCAAGATTATGCATAATATTGCACTATAACTACAATGATATTTTGTTGTTTTCATTTATAATAGTGTCAACATCTATTTTGAAAGATTCATGGAATAGTTGGAGGAAATTTAAATCAATATCATCTACCAGGAACTTTACACAACTTGTCCGGACACTATATTTCTTTTTATTACACCTCTGTATGATAATTTTTGAAATGTTAATTTTGTCCGTGACAACAACAATTCTTTTTGTTTTAACTTACAAAAAGGACATACAGAGCTGTTCGAGAAAGCAAACATTTAAGGCGTTAAATGGAGCTTTATAGGACAAGTGGAATCTTATGGTGTGAAAATAATTTATAAAGTCAAGTATGCAGTCTATGCCACTTAGTGAACTTGGAATTTCACCTAAAAAAGGAACTTGACGGACGTTGTGAGGAGGCTATCATGACATTGTCTTCTTTTTTTGGGGGGGGGGGGGGGGGTGGGGGGAGTAGTACTCGGGGGGGGGGGGGTTCTCATTTTGGGTAGTTTTCCGGGGGTAATTTTCTGTAGGGGGGTGTTTGTCCAGTGTGTTACTGTCCTGATACATCCGTACATGGAATCCCCTTCTTGTTCTTGTTTTTATTCTACTTGCTCAATCTTGTTCTCCTTGTTCTTCTTGATCTTTCTTTACCTCTTCTTCTTTTCTTTTCTTTTCTTTCCTTGTTTCAATAGCCGAATTACACCTCAGTGGCGTGAAACGAATTCAATGATGGACCATCAAGGATAAACATGTATGCAATTTAATTTTTAATTTTTGCATTCACCCATGGGCGCAGACACAAATAAACATAGAAAAATGCATTTTGACATACAACAATATTGAATGTTGCCTCCTCCTGACATTAAATTAAAGAAGGAATATAATTATTTATTTTTCTGAGTTCAATAGGTCTAGTAAGATGCAAGATATCCTGAGTTAAATAGTAATCCATCTGTCAGTTCTATAATGAGAATGCGTTCACAAGCTATTTTTGCATACATAATGAGCCCATGACCTTGGACCTTATGAACCAAGAATCTACTCAGTTTATTGGCTCTGCAAGATACATAAATGATCTAAGTTTGGCAGGAATCCATCAATCTGTTCTAATGATAATACGATCATAATCTATTTTTGCATACATAATGTGCGCTGTGACCTTTGACCTTCACCTCATGATCCCAAAATCAAATCAGTTCATCAGCTCTGCAAGTAACATACATGACCTAAGTTTGGCAGGAATCCATCAATCGGTTCTTGAGATAACGCGATCACAAACTGTTTTTGCATACATAATGAGCCCTGTGACCTTTGACCTCGTGACCCCAAAATCTAATCAGTTCATTGGCTCTGCAAGATACATACATGACCAAAGTTTGGCTGGAATCCATCAATCGGTTCTTCAGATAACGCGATCACAGGCTGTTTTTGCATACATAATGAGCCCTGTGACCTTTGACCTTTGATCTCGTGACCCCAAAATCTAATCAGTTCATCGACTCTGCAAGATACATACATGACCAAAGTTTGGCAGGAATCCATCGATCGGTTCTTTAGATAACGCGATCACGAGCTGTTTTTGCATACATAATGAGCCCTGTGACCTTTGACCTTTGACCTCGTGACCCCAAAATCTAATCAGTTCATCGACTCTGCAAGATACATACATGACCAAAGTTTGGCAGGAATCCATCGATCGGTTCTTTAGATAACGCGATCACGAGCTGTTTTTGCATACATAATGAGCCCTGTGACCTTTGACCTCGTGACCCCAAAATCTAATCAGTTCATCGACTCTGCAAGATACATACATGACCAAAGTTTGGCGGGAATCCATCGATCGGTTCTTCAGATAACGTGATCACGAGAACGGGACGTAGTACAGACGTACGGACGGACGGACGGACAACCCGAAAACATAATGCCTCCGGCTACTTCCCCCCCCCCCCCCCCCCCCCCCCCCCCCCCCCCCCCCCCCCCCCCACTCAGTGTTATTTAGGGTACGCATATGCTCGTACCCTCTTTTTGAAAGCACCCCCTATCTGAGGACTGCCAACATTTCCGAACCCCCCTTTCGCGGGCTTTTTGCGGGCTTTTCCTGCCTTGGAGACCCCCCTAAATCAGGAAAAATGCTCAATGTACCCCCCTAAATTCGGAATAATTTCTCAGGATTCCAAAGAGATGAGAGAAAAAAAGAAAAACACCCCCTTTTTAAAGAAATCTCAGGGTGAAAAGTCAAATACACCCCTTTTTTTACAAATCTCGGGCCGGACTTTGTCGCACGAAAAGTACCCCTTTACCGGACATTTTGGCAACACGCATGCGGTCATTCCGACCTCTGAGTGGGGGGGGGGGGGGGGGGGGGGGGGGCCGGGCTACTTCGTAACGGAGGCATAAAAAAAGCTTGCTTTTATTATTTTTGTTATGTTTTGCATGGCTTTTGCATGTAGCCTGTCTTTCTATTTTTCCTCCTAAATACCCATGCATGCATCTTTAAAGACACCTTAAGCATACACAGTGAAGATCTGGATGATGTTTTCTGGGATGAAAAGAGTGAGTTTGGGTTTCTAGATGGTGAGAAGGAGGAGGAGGAATATCGAGATGAAGAAGATGGGGAATTTCAAGGTTTAGGTCTCCGTGGTAAGTTTGATTTTTATGTGGGTTTGTGGGATACATACATTCATGTAGAATACTGCAGTAGAAGATTCATCCATTTAATTTATCAGATTTGTGTATGTGTGCCTTTTTCTCTCACTAAAATTGCGGTTTACTTTGAACAGGGATAACTCACATATCCCTGCTTTGAAGGTCATTTTTATATCTAGCCTGACAATGATTATTGATATTCGTTTTTTGTACTATGTGTGAACGTTTGTTTGTGGAATTTAATCTAAATGTTTATGTATAGTAACCAGTGTGTTCAGTAACTTCAGTTATATATTTGTTGTGGTGTATGCTATTTGTGTTTTTCAAAATGAATATCAAATTTTAACATTTATGGGAAATCAATGTTTTTTGTAGTGCTCACCAGTTCTACATGTGGCACTGTGCAATTTTTATTTTATGTGCAATTACCGTAGTTCTTTGTAACAATTAAATTTAAGCCTTTGTTTTCATGCAGAGATAAATACTTTGACCTACAATGTATCATCTAAATTTAGGCATAAATTAAGTCCTTTCTAAAATACAACAAAATATTTTAACGGTCTTCGATGCTTCCTGCTTTCAAATTGAAATTCGATCATATTGTGTCTTTTTACCATTTCCAAGTTTATTTGATTAAAATAAAAACATTTGTGTGTTTTTATATTGTCAAAAATTTGTTCAGACGGTATCAATCCAACTAATCTCTGTGCATGTAAAGACCAAAAAAGAAGGGTGATAATCCATCCATTTATTAAGAGGAGTTTGTATCTCACTCGTGGATCTAGTTTTTTTCCTTCCCTGTACCCTCGCCACTGAGAAAGGCCAATCACATGATCTATATTCTGCCACACTGACGTTTTTCCTCTCTCCCTGTTCCTAATTATAGGCTCAAATAAACTAAAAATGGGCCCAATGAAACTCTAAGAGTAAATGCATACCGTAAGCACCTCATCAATCTGCAAAACGATAAGGAGCCATGCTTGTCTAGACCTGAAGTTGTCACATCAAAAAAGGTTTTTGACTCTCATGATATGAAAAGCGTGTGTAAGAAGTTAAATGTCAAGATAGTAAGGTGGGGCTATTAAACCGTAAACCAAAATTCAAGACAACTTTTTTGTTATCCCCCTGCTACATATCATCTCTAGTTACTAATGGAGCCATTACCAATTGATCCGTTTTAAAAACTATAGCAGTATTTTAGCTTTTGGTTGGTTGTAAAACCATGAGCCAAGTTTAAGATAATGATTTAGATTATTTAAAACTTTTGTATTAGATTTT